TTATTTTATTTTTACCTACGTTACTTTACCGAATAGAACCAAAGAGTATACTTTACCTGGTTAATTGATAACGCCCTTCCTCTTAGACTGCACTCTCATGCTCACGAGTTCCTCACCATCGCTGGCCCCACCCTCTTGCCCGATGCGGCAACCCCCCCTCCCTTCCCCCTCTCGTGCCAATGCCTCGTCCACAGCAGTCTGATTCTCTCACCTGAAGACGGTCGCTTGTTGCTGCGATCGAAACGTCGTGATCTATTATTGTTGTTTTCTACCTTCGTGACTTTACCGAAATAACCAAAGAGTACAGGTTATTATCTAGGAATAGGTTTTACCCTTTTAACTGGCACAAAAACTGACACCTTTATTCAAGGCATCATGTTTGCTATAACCACAACACAAGCAGTCAAAATGCAAACAAAAAAGACAACTCTGATAATAATATGCACTGTCCTTGAATTTGATAGGTCCACACCCGAGACGGCTTTTCTTAGAGCCTAGTCTCACACATTGGTGTTGGACCAGAAGACGCCAAAAGGCGTACAACTCAAAAACAGCGCACTATCAGAGTATTGAGGGCTCGGGGTGAGCAAAGGAGGTCTCATAATGTAAATGCTCACCCCGAGCCCTCAATACTCTGATAGTGCGCTGTTTTTGAGTTGTACGCCTTTTGGCGTCTTCTGGTCCAACACCAATGGAGACATGGCTCTAAGAAAAGCTGTCTCGGGTGTGGACCAATCAAATTCAAGGACAGTGCCATTATTATTATCAGAGTTGTCTTTTTTTGTTTGCATTTTGACTGCTTGTGTTGTGGTTATTGCAAACATGATGCCTTGAATAAAGGTGTCAGTTTTTGTGCCAGTTAAAAGGGTAAAACCTATTCCTATATCTTGTTTCTGGCAAAGGAGGTCTCATAAAGGTTATTATCTGTTGCTGCGTTCGCTCTGTGGGGGCTGAATCTGGTGTAGCTGTCAGATGGAGTCGGGTTCATTTATTGCGTGACAAAGGGCGACTTAAAGTAATTTTTGCGTCCGTGGAAAATATCAGGTCCAATTTTTTGTTTTGATAAAAAAAAATCGACATTTCTCACACCCACAGAGCTCGGTTCAGGATTTTTGTGAGTGTATGCGGTTGGTGTAGTTTCTGGTTGGGGTTAAGAAGAACTTGACTTTCTCACGAGAAGGCTAAAACCCAAAGGACAGGACCGGACCACAACTTCTACCACCACTTCCTCAGTTCAATCACAACATCAAACCGAGATACCAAGTTAAAAAGTAGAACTCCCCTCCACTCACTCCCCTACCTCTCACCTCACTCTACTCCTCTCCACTCACTCCCCTACCTCTCACCTCACTCTACTCCCCTCCACTCACTCCCCTACCTCTCACCTCACTCTACTCCCCTCCACTCACTCCCCTACCCCTCTCATCTCACTCCACTCCCCTCCACTCACTCCCCTACCTCTCACCTCACTCTACTCCTCTCCACTCACTCCCCTACCCCTCATCTCACTCTACTCTCCTCCACTCACTCCCCTACCTCTCATCTCACTCTACTCCCCTCCACTCACTCTCCTACCTCTCATCTCACTCCCCTCCACTCACTCCCCTACCACTCTCATCTCACTCTACTCTCCTCCACTCACTCCCCTACCCCTCTCATCTCACTCTACTCCCTTCCACTCACTCTCCTACCTCTCATCTCACTCCCCTCCACTCACTCCCCTACCTCTCATCTCACTCTACTCCCCTCCACTCACTCCCCTACCTCTCACCTCACTCTACCCCCTTCCACTCACTCCCCTACCTCTCATCTCACTCCACTCCGCTCCACTCACTCCCCTACCTCTCACCTCACTCTACCCCCTTCCACTCACTCCCCTACCTCTCACCTCACTCTACCCCCTTCCACTCACTCCCCTACCTCTCACCTCACTCTAATCCCCTCCACTCACTCCACTACCTCTCACCTCACTCTACTCCCCTCCACTCACTCCCCTACCTCTCATCTCACTCTACTCCCCTCCACTCACTCCCCTACCTCCCATCTCACTCTACTCCCCTCCACTCTCTCCCCTACCTCTCATCTCACTCTACTCCACTCACTCTCCTACCTCTCACCTCACTCCACTCCCCATCCACTCACTTCCCTACCTCTCACCTCACTCTACTCCCCTCCACTCACTCTCCTACCTTTCAACTCACTCTACTCCCCTCCACTCACTCCCCTACCCCTCTCATCTCACTCTACTCCCCTCCACTCACTCTCCTACCTCTCACCTCACTCTACTCCCCTCCACTCACTCCCCTACCCCTCTCAACTCACTCTACTCCACTCACTCCCCTACCTCTCACCTCTATTCCCCTCCACTCACTCTCCTACCTCTCATCTCACTCTACTCCCCTCCACTCACTCCCCTACCTCTCATCTCACTCTACTCCCTCTACTCACTATATCGTGAGTCTAGTGTGTGACGGACTACTCAATATAACGTGAGTCTAGCGTGTGATGGACTACTCACTATAACGTGAGTCTAGCGTGTGACAGACTACTCACTACAACGTGAGTCTAGCGTGTGACAGACTACTCACTATAACGTGAGTCTAGTGTGTGACAGACTACTCACTATAACGTGAGTCTAGTGTGTGACAGACTACTCACTATAACGTGAGTCTAGTGTGTGACAGACTACTCACTATAACGTGAGTCTAGTGTGTGACGGACTACTCACTATAACGTAAGTCTAGTGTGTGACGGACTACTCACTATAACGTGAGTCTAGTGTGTGATGGACTACTCACTATAACGTGAGTCTAGCACGTGACGGACTACTCACTATAACGTGAGTCTAGTGTGTGACGGACTACTCACTATAACGTGAGTCTAGTGTGTGACAGACTACTCACTTTAACGTGAGTCTAGCGTGTGACAGACTACTCACTATAACGTGAGTCTAGCGTGTGAAGGACTACTCACTATAACGTGAGTCTAGCGTGTGACAGACTACTCACTATAACGTGAGTCTAGTGTATGACGGACTACTCACTACGTGCGTCTAGAGTGTGACAGACTACTCACTATAACATGAGTCTGGCGTGTGAAGGACTACTCACTATAACGTGAGTCTAGTGTGTGAAGGACTACTCACTACAACGTGAGTCTAGCGTGTGACGGACTACTCACTATAACGTGAGTCTAGTGTGTGAAGGACTACTCACTATAACGTGAGTCTAGCGTGTGACAGACTACTCACTATAACGTGAGTCTAGTGTATGACGGACTACTCACTACGTGAGTCTAGAGTGTGACAGACTACTCACTATAACGTGAGTCTAGAGTGTGACAGACTACTCACTATAACGTGAGTCTAGCGTGTGACGGACTACTCACTATAACGTGAGTCTAGTGTGTGACAGACTACTCACTATAACGTGAGTCTAGTGTGTGACGGACTACTCACTATAACGTGAGTCTAGCGTGTGACGGACTACTCACTATAACGTGAGTCTAGCGTGTGATGGACTACTCACTATAACCTGAGTCTAGTGTGTGACAGACTACTCACTATAACGTGAGTCTAGTGTGTGACGGACTACTCACTACAACGCGAGTCTAGTGTGTGACGGACTACTCACTATAACGTGAGTCTAGTGTGTGACGGACTACTCACTACAACGTGAGTCTAGTGTGTGACGGACTACTCACTACAACGTGAGTCTAGTGTGTGACGGACTACTCACTATAACGTGAGTCTAGCGTGTGACAGACTACTCACTATAACGTGAGTCTAGCGTGTGACAGACTACTCACTATAACGTGAGTCTAGTGTATGACGGACTACTCACTACGTGCGTCTAGAGTGTGACAGACTACTCACTATAACATGAGTCTGGCGTGTGAAGGACTACTCACTATAACGTGAGTCTAGTGTGTGAAGGACTACTCACTACAACGTGAGTCTAGCGTGTGACGGACTACTCACTATAACGTGAGTCTAGTGTGTGAAGGACTACTCACTATAACGTGAGTCTAGCGTGTGACAGACTACTCACTATAACGTCAGTCTAGTGTATGACGGACTACTCACTACGTGAGTCTAGAGTGTGACAGACTACTCACTATAACGTGAGTCTAGAGTGTGACAGACTACTCACTATAACGTGAGTCTAGCGTGTGACGGACTACTCACTATAACGTGAGTCTAGTGTGTGACAGACTACTCACTATAACGTGAGTCTAGAGTGTGACAGACTACTCACTATAACGTGAGTCTAGCGTGTGACGGACTACTCACTATAACGTGAGTCTAGCGTGTGACAGACTACTCACTATAACGTGAGTCTAGTGTGTGACGGACTACTCACTACAACGCGAGTCTAGTGTGTGACGGACTACTCACTATAACGTGAGTCTAGTGTGTGACGGACTACTCACTATAACGTGAGTCTAGCGTGTGACGGGCTACTCACTATAACGTGAGTCTAGCGTGTGACAGACTACTCACTATAACGTCAGTCTAGTGTATGACGGACTACTCACTACGTGAGTCTAGAGTGTGACAGACTACTCACTATAACGTGAGTCTAGAGTGTGACAGACTACTCACTATAACGTGAGTCTAGCGTGTGACGGACTACTCACTATAACGTGAGTCTAGTGTGTGACAGACTACTCACTATAACGTGAGTCTAGAGTGTGACAGACTACTCACTATAACGTGAGTCTAGCGTGTGACGGACTACTCACTATAACGTGAGTCTAGCGTGTGACAGACTACTCACTATAACGTGAGTCTAGTGTGTGACGGACTACTCACTACAACGCGAGTCTAGTGTGTGACGGACTACTCACTATAACGTGAGTCTAGTGTGTGACGGACTACTCACTATAACGTGAGTCTAGCGTGTGACGGGCTACTCACTACAACGCACTATTGTTGTTAAGCACATTAAGGCACTGCTATATACATCTGTATGTGTAATAAACGACTTGCACGACGACTCTTGAATGGTGTCTTTTATTGACTGAATTTCCGCACAGCTCCGCTCCTTCTCCCTCCGGTATTTCCCTTCTCCATCACTGCCCTGGACGAGGCGTTCTCTCCGTCCCACTCTCGAGGTTCGCCTCCCTCTCTCTCCGATCACGCCGCTGCCTGGCGGCGTGCCAGGGGAGGTGAGGGGAGCTTCGCTGGGGATCCGCCACGCGGTCGATGGCGAGGTGAGGCTGAGCAGCGACGCGGTCCGGACTCGCGGCTTCCCACACCGACCACGTGTCCTCCCCTGCCTCTAGCCACGCCCCCCTCGTGGAACCTTCCCGATGGCTCCCGAACGTTCTGTGTGACTCCTCTGTGACTCCGCCCCCTTGGCCCAGATATAATCCCCGCGCAGGATTGGATACCGGCTACGTGATAGTGCTCGTGCAGTTACCCCTTGGCGCCCACTAGATGGCGCTCTCTCAGAGGTAAGAGAAATGCAGGGAATACGGACGGTGCTGTTGGTAGTATTCGGTGGCGGTGTTGAGTGCATGTTCACTCACGCACATCGCAGCACTTGATTAATTATTTATTGATTCATGCATAATTCTAAAATCTACTCACGAGCAGAATAAGGTAGTCATGAAAATGTCTATATATGCAGCATTTTCATTGTTTAAGTTGTATGTACTGTATAATGTATAAAATACTTAACACTGAAATCAAGCGTAGCGACTTCGTCACGCACGCGGTGCCGATCGCCGGACTGGTTACAATCGTTGGAGCGGTTTGCCGGATAATGTTGTAAGCAGCCGGATAATCGATGATCGACTGCATTCATCAATGACCTCCATCTCGTATCCACCACGTCACGTTGCGGCTCTAGAAATAGGGATTTATAAACTTTTGTGTTCGTTACCGAATTCGATTTTTTTTCGTCTCTTCTTGTCATTTTCGACTTGCCAACCCCCTGATTTAAGGGTCACAACATAACACACGACGGAGGGGTTGCGTGTCGCATTACAAACCGTGAACCAGAGCCCTCGTTTGGCACCCACAATGCCTCCGAGTGTTCGGATCACGGATCTGCCGATTGCGACTATTTTCAAGAAGGCAACCGGTGCGATGGGCTGGGGGGGTTTGCTGTATACATGCCTAGAGATTGAATCACTTCCGACGATTCTCAGCTGACGTGGTGGACACCGCGTGGCGCGGATAATCGGAAAGTAAAAGCAAGCGCCTCCGATTGATGTTCATCTTTTATATCGCGCCTTCTTAACCAAGGCGCTTAGCAAAGACTGAACAACGGTACGGCATGGGAATGTAATGGTGGAGATGCGGTGAATGAAATAGACGAGAGGAAGCAATGGGGGCCAAATCGGTGGTGATGATGACGCGTGGATTCGGAGAAAGCGAAATTGTTGCCAGCAAATGATGACGAGTGGATTGAACGAAAGGGGAATGGAGTGATAGCTGTATAATGAGGATACGTAGAGTCACGTTGATGTTCGTGTGGGCGAGATTATGGGGGTCGTCGGGTGAGCTTGGGAACTGGGAGTGTTGAGTAAGGAATGGAAGTTGGTGAGCGAAGGTGACGGTTTAATGTGGAGGGGAAGTTTGTTCCATTTCTCAACCGCAAGCCCCATGAATGAATTGGGAATGAATGGGGAATGAGTGATAGCCATGATGGGGAATGAGTGATACTTAACGGGGCCCGAAAGGGGATTGGTTAGAGGCAGGGAAATTGAAGGGATTTGAGGGAGAAATACAAACGTGGAAAGAGTTGGGAACGGAGGATGATTGACAGGGAGGGACTTACGAACCGTCCCGACTTACGAACGGAGTCTCAGGATCGAATTAGGTTCGTAACCCGAGGACTGCCAGATACATTTTGAGAGGGCTTTTGAACCACTGCATAGCAATTACGTTTGCACCCAATTTTTGCGTTGTCGTTAGGAATCTCCTCCACCACCACCTTACGCGGCCCAACCAAATCCATCCGTCACGTGAGTACGTGCGTGGCCGCAACAAAAACGAAGGTCGTCAGGTGGTGGAGGGGTTTAGAACACATTGTCATGCTGGCGGCTCTTAAGATCACGGGGAATACGTCGAGCGTCTGTGTTTGGAGAGGCACCGCACCACCGAGGCACGGGCCCTGACCAGACATTGGACACCTCGCCGGTTCTCATTTCCTTAAGCAGCCAACAGCCACCGAATTGTGCCGCTACCGCTGCTGCTCCTGATTCTCCTGCTGTTGCCACTGCTACTGCCGCTGCTACTCCTGCTGCGACTGCTGCTCTTGATTCTCCTGCTGTTGCCACTGCTACTGCTGCTGCTCCTGCTGCTCATGATTCTCCTGCTACTGCTTCTGTGACTGCTTTTGGTGCTATTGCTGCTACTCCTCCTCCTGCTACTACTGATGCTAACTACTGCGTCTACTACTCCTGCTGCTACCGCTTCTGCTGCTACTACTGCTTCTACTACTACTACTGCGTCTACTACTCCTGCTGCTACCGCTTCTGCTGCTACTACTGCTTCTACTACTACTGCGTCTACTGCGACTGCTTCTACCACGCCTACTGCTCTCTACTCTTTTGCTGCTGCTGCTTTTGCCGCTGCTGCTCCAGTGCCCTGTGCGGGAGCGGCTCTTCAATGAGTGCTGGTGGGGTGGGGGTGCTCATCTGGACGCCTCTGCCCGGCTGAAGGATTTTGCTGCCGCCTCGACGCTGGGGGCGACCAAAATGGCGCCTCTCTCCGGGCACGCGGGGGGTTTATGGTCGCCGGGGTGGCCCCACTAGAACAGCGGGGTGGGGGGCCTCCCACTAGAACAGCGGGGTGGGGGGCCCCCCACTAGAACAGCGCTCCCCCCCACTAGAACAGCCCCCCGCAGTCGTTGCTCGTGGCATATCTCTTCATGTCGTTGGCGGCATGCAGGCAGTTGCTGGAGAAGACGTTGTAGGAGTGACCACCGTGCCGCACGAGGTCTCCCACGGTCACTCCGGGGTAAGCCGTAGAGCCAGACGATGGCTGCAGCGGTAAGGGGCAGGGCAGGGGATTGGGATGGGGGTGGTGTGGGTGGGGGCAGCAATGAGAGTCGGCGAAGCGCTCGAGGGGGCGCCGCTCGCTCCTGCCGCTCGTAGCGAGCGGCCGTCGTGGCCGCTGACAGCCACCTCGCTCGCTCCCTGTCGGGCAGTCGCCTCCGCGTCGTCGCCGTCGCAACAACGACAGCAGCAGCCTGCAGCTTCCCTGCTCCCAATCGATGGGCTTCAGAGTGGACCCAAGCATCCGAATGTAGGACCGCCAGAGCTTAGGCGATTGTTAGCAGCGCCGCTTCTCTCCGAGCCCCCCGCTCGTCTGTGGCTTCTAGCGCGCCTCTCAATCGCTCTGCTTCCTTCACCAACCCGCACTGACCGGCGGGGTGAAGTATGGTCAAATATCGATTGGACCATTTTTGCCGGTGCCCCTTTCCAGCAAATGATCCGGGGTCGTGTTAAGACGCCCAAACACGGAACGGACACAGAAGCGACCGCAAGGCATCACCAAGTCTAACACGAAGCACGCATCACGCTCGTGATAAGCCATGCAAACGAACACGCTTTGATGACAGTGCCATGCATCGTCCTTGGAACTGATTGGCCAACGCCAGAGGCAGCCTCCTGTGTGGCCTCGTCTCTGCACCGGTGCTGGCCCGGGCAACAACGCCAATAGGTGAACAGTGCAAGGAGACTGATAACAACAAATACACTTTGATAGAAATAATAATGATGATGATGATGATGCTGTGTCGTGGCGTGCACTACGTACCACCACATTCCACTGGCCGCTCATGTGCTTGGGGTCAACCACGACTGTTTGCCAGGAAGAATCCGATGCGTATTTCTTCCCTTTGTGGATCAACCACTGTCCTCCGTTCTCCGTCGTGACCCTGGGCAGGATGGAGAAGGGGAGAGGCGCGCGTCACGTGATCGCCACGAGACGCCCACGCTGTGTTGGTTGGCAATGTTCAGCGTTTATGAGATGCAGTTTTATCGTATATCTACATATATATAAAAAAGGGAAATTTGTGATGATGTGTATCTGTTCGAAATGTTTAGCATATTTCCCGACATGCTACAAACTTGAAATGTGGCATGTGGGTAGTTTCCAGACTGTACACAATGCAAAAAGTATAAAAATAGACTTTTGTATCTTGCGGGGGGCGGGGCAGTGCGCAATAATGGATATATTTTGCACGGCAAGTGAGCGGTGACGTCACATCTGTGTGACGTCACATCTGTGATGTCACCCGCACGCGGCAGCGTCACGCAGTGTGCCTGCTGACGTCACGCATCCCCCCACCCCCACCCTCCGCGTAGGCCGTGAATTAATCCAAGACAAGAATCCAAGTACCGGGCGAAGCCGGGTAGTCAAGCTCGTCTTATATATATAGATGTATATAGTAAGGTCATTTGCAGCAATTACATTTAAACAAATTGTACGTGACATGATAGTGGTTGAGATACTAAAATGTAATGGGGTTGTTATTATAAGTGGTGGTGGTGGTGTAGTCAAGGTGACAGGCGAACAGATGGGAGAGGTTAGGGAGAGGTTAAGGGTATTTGTAGGGGTAGTGATAGGGGTTGGAGTAGTGGTAGGGGTAGTGGTAGGGGTAGTGATAGGGGTAGTGGTAGGGGTTGGGGTAGTGGTAGGGGTTGGGGTAGGGGTAGTGATAGGGGTAGTGGTAGGGGTTGGGGTAGTGATAGGGGTTGGGGTAGTGGTAGGGGTAGTGATAGGGGTAGTGGTAGGGGTTGGGGTAGTGATAGGGGTTGGGGTAGTGGTAGGGGTTGGGGCAGTGGTAGGGGTAGTGATAGGGGTAGTGGTAGGGGTTGGGGTAGTGATAGGGGTTGGGGTAGTGGTAGGGGTTGGGGTAATGGTAGGGGTAGTGATAGGGGTAGTGGTAGGGGTTGGGGTAGTGATAGGGGTTGGGGTAGTGGTAGGGGTTGGGGTAGTGGTAGGGGTTGGGGTAGTGATAAGGGTTGGGGTAGTGGTAGGGGTTGGGGCAGTGGTAGGAGTAGTGATAGGGGTAGTGGTAGGGGTAGTGATAGGGGTTGGGCTAGTGGTAGGGGTTGGGGTAGTGGTAGGGGTTGGGGTAGTGAAAAGGGTTGGGGTAGTGGTAGGGGTTGGGGTAGTGGTAGGAGTAGTGATAGGGGTAGTGGTAGTGATAGGGGAGTGGTAGGGGTTGGGGTAGTGATAGGGGTTGGGGTAGTGGTTGGGGTAGTGGTAGGGGTAGTGATAGGGGTAGTGGTAGGGGTTGGGGTAGTGGTAGGGGTTGGGGTAGTGGTAGGGGTAGTGATAGGGGTAGTGGTAGGGGTTGGGGTAGTGATAGGGGTTGGGGTAGTGGTAGGGGTTGGGGCAGTGGTAGGGGTAGTGATAGGGGTAGTGGTAGGGGTTGGGGTAGTGATAGGGGTTGGGGTAGTGGTAGGGGTTGGGGTAATGGTAGGGGTAGTGATAGGGGTAGTGGTAGGGGTTGGGGTAGTGATAGGGGTTGGGGTAGTGGTAGGGGTTGGGGTAGTGGTAGGGGTTGGGGTAGTGATAAGGGTTGGGGTAGTGGTAGGGGTTGGGGCAGTGGTAGGAGTAGTGATAGGGGTAGTGGTAGGGGTAGTGATAGGGGTTGGGCTAGTGGTAGGGGTTGGGGTAGTGGTAGGGGTTGGGGTAGTGAAAAGGGTTGGGGTAGTGGTAGGGGTTGGGGTAGTGGTAGGAGTAGTGATAGGGGTAGTGGTAGTGATAGGGGTAGTGGTAGGGGTTGGGGTAGTGATAGGGGTTGGGGTAGTGGTTGGGGTTGGGGTAGTGGTAGGGGTAGTGATAGGGGTAGTGGTAGGGGTTGAGGTAGTGATAGGGGTTGGGGTAGCGGTAGGCGTTGGGGTAGTGGTAGGGGTTGGGGTAGTGATAAGGGTTGGGGTAGTGGTAGGGGTTGGGGTAGTGGTAGGAGTAGTGATAGGGGTAGTGGTAGGGGTAGTGGTAGGGGTTGGGGTAGTGATAGGGGTTGGGGTAGTGGTTGGGGTTGGGGTAGTGGTAGGGGTAGTGATAGGGGTAGTGGTAGGGGTTGAGGTAGTGATAGGGGTTGGGGTAGTGGTAGGGGTAGTGATAGGGGTTGGGTAGTGATAGGGGTGGGGATAGTGATAGGGGTTGGAGTATTTGTAGGGGTAGTTATTGGGGTTGGGGTAGTGGTAGATGTTGGGGTAGCAATAGGAGTTGGGGCAATGATAGGGGTTGGGGTAGTGATAGGGATAGTGGTAGAGATAGTGATAGGGGTTGGGGTAGTGGTAGATATTGGGGTAGCAATAGGGGTTTGGGTAGTGATAGGGGTAGGGATAGGGGTAGTGGTAGAGATAGTGATAGGGGTTGTGGTAGTGATAGGGGTTGGGGTAGTGATATGGGTAGTGATAGTGATAGGGGTAGTGATAGGGGTTGGGGTGGTGATAGGGGTAGTGATAGGGGTAGAGATAGTGATAAGGGTTGTGGTAGTGATAGGGGTAGTGATAGGGTTAGAGATAGGGTTAGGGGAGGTGATAGTGGTAGGGGTTGGGGTGGTGATAGGGGTAGTGATAGGGGTAGTGATAGTGATAGGGGTAGTGGTAGGGGTAGTGGTAGGGGTTGGGGTAGTGAGAGGGGTAGTGATAGTGATAAGGGTAGTGGTAGTGATAGGGGTAGTGGTAGTGATAGTGGTAGTGATAGGGGTAGTGGTAGGGGTTGTGGTAGGGGTTGTGGTAGTGATAGGGGTAGTGATAGTGATAGGGGTAGTGGTAGTGATAGGGGTGGTGGTAGTGATAGGGCTAGTGGTAGGGCTAGTGATAGGGGTAGTGATAGGGTTAGTGGTAGTGATAGGGGTGGTGGTAGTGATAGGGTTAGTTATAGGGGTAGTGATAGTGATAGGAGTAGTGACAGGGGTAGTGATAGTGGTAGTGATAGGGGTGGTGGTAGTGGTAGGGGTTGTGGTAGGGGTTGTGGTAGGGGTTTGTGTAGATTTGGTCGTAGCTGGGAGTTAGGCAGTATCAGCAGTATCAGCAGGATGATGTTGATGATGATGCTGGGCTAGGCGAGAAGAGACTGTCGGTGGTGTAAAGGGAGGAACGGAAGCTGCAGCTTGTTAATGTTGTTGTTGGTGTTGTTGTTGTTGGTGTTGTTGTTGATGTTGGTGTTGTTGTTGATGTTGTTGTTGGTGTTGTTGATTTTGTTGTTAGTGTTGTTGGTGTTGTTGATGTTGTTGTTGGTGTTGTTGTTGGTGTTGTTGTTGATGGTGTTGTTGTTGTTGCGACAGTGAAGGCGATTGCCCTGAGTGCTACGGGGGGAGGAGGGGGGGGGGTGTTGGTTCCATTGACGAGGAGCGAGAAGGGGACAGGAAGGAGAGAGGCCGTGAGCGTAGGGGACACGGGGTGGGTCGTCAGGTCGCTCAGACAGAAGGAAGAATGAGACGAGGCGACACGGGGACGTGTCCACGGACGCGTCCCCGAGGATCTCGTGCACTGCCGGACGCACACGATGCCGGCGTGTGGGATGTTGGCCGCGAAGGGTCTCTTCCAGCACTCCACGTAAGTGACCCTGGTGTTGTAGAGTCTGGTGAGCTCCGACTGCGATAGGTGGTCGCTTGCTGGTGACGGAAGGGACGGCGTCGCGTTAGTCGATTGTGCAGCAGCAACAACAGCAACAACAACAGCAGCAGCAACAACAACAACAACAGCAACAACAGCAGCAACAACAACAACAAAATCCGCAATCAGCCGTTCATGTTGGTGTGTTAGTTGATGTAACCAGGTGAAGGTGACTGGGCTCTGAGCTCTCGTTCAGAGGGGGCGACCTGGCCACAAGCCGTGACGGCAGCGCCTCGTCATCTCAGTGGCTGATACCACGACCACTACCACCACCATCACTATCACCACTACCACCACCACCACTATCACCACTACCACCACTACCACCACCACTACCACCACTATCACCACTATCACCACTACCACCACTGCCACCACCACTACCACCACTATCACCACTCCATGGGAGAATGGAGAAGCATGAATTTTGTAAAAAATGTTAATGATTGTTATTAAACATTTAGATTCTAATGATTCTACCAGGGCTTTCCATTCTCTGGAATGAATCTGTGATTGTTATAATTGTACTCTACATTTTTCTTCGTTCTGCTACAAAGTTTCAAGTATTATTTTTTTATAGTTATAATTACTTTTAATATTTTATAATTATAAGAGAATTTCAATATAACAATCAGAACATCTGCAGTTTTAGTTGAAAAAATCTATTTCGTGTGAGTCCACAGCGTTCAAACAATGATCAGCAACGGCAGAGGTATTGGTCCTACCGTGTTCCAGATCTTCCTCGTGTTCATGGATGTGGTCCGAGACATGTCGGTTCGTATCCCGAACGTAGCTGCTGCCACAACCTTCAGAGATTTGTTCATGAAGCCATCCAGATGCATAAACACAGACACAACTTCAACGGAGAAGATGGGTACAACCTGAACAATAATTGGAAGGACGTTAATCTTTGTGTTTTTTTCGGTAAAGTCACGTATACATAAGAAATAATAAAATAACAATAGCGTACGACGTTTCGGTTGCAACACAAGCAGCCATCATCAGGTACAGAAGAGCTACATTTACGAGAGAGGGGAAACACATAACCCCAGATGTATACACAGACACCCAAGTAGGGGGAACTAACACCGACACAATAGGGGACACAGAGAGAGAAGCATACCAGACAGAGTTTAGCAGAATTTGGAAACCATATAAAGAAACACAGACGGTCGGTCAAAACACAATTACCGCATAGCCTGGTTGATTACGTTATTTCAAAGATTGCTAAATTGCAAGTTAAGTATGAAATTTAAGATACAGACGGCACACACACACATAGACATTCAAGTAGAGCGGACCAGCACAGGCACAAGCACACAGTGAAGTCGCCTTAAATAGGCAGAGAAGGCAAGGCTGAGAGACAATGGGACATATTAGCACGAGAAGGCAAGGCTGGGAGACAACGGGACATATTAGCATGAGGTATTCATAGAGCAAAGTGGAGCACGGCAGCAAACATTCGGAAGCACCAAGACCCACACACAGGCAGAGACAGCACAGAGACACAGATCCAAGCACAGACACAAAGGCAGACACACAAGCAGAGACAACACACAGACAACACAAGACAACATAAAGACTTCTCATGCTGAGGACGTTATTAACCAGGTAAAATCTTAACTGATTGTCATGTTTCCATCCTAAATTCCTATGTCAGCTGTTATTTCCGACTCTCTGTGTCCCTCTCTATGCCTCTCTCTTAAATCTCTCACATGCCCTTTAGATTACACTCTGATGCTCACATCTCCCTTGGATTACACTATCATGCTCACATCTCCCTTGGATTACACTCTCATGCTCACGTCAAGTGCAGCAGCAGCACGTGGACGGGGCGTGGAGTTGAACCCAGACTCCAACTCACTGCCCGGCCTCGCATTCAACTCTATGGGTTGGTAATCAACTCTCTGGGCTGGTATTCAACTCTATGGGTTGGTAATCAACTCTCTGGGCTGGTATTCAACTATATGGGCTGGTATTCAACTATCTGGGCTGGTAATCAACTCTCTGTGCTGGTATTCAACTCTCTGTGCTGGTAATCAACTCTATGGGCTGGTATTCAACTCTCTGGGCTGGTAATCAACTCTCTGGGCTGGTAATCAACTCTCTGGGCTGGTATTCAACTCTCTGGGCTGGTATTCAACTCTATGGGCTGGTATTCAACTCTCTGTGCTGGTAATCAACTCTATGGGCTGGTATTCAAAGCGCGACCGCGGTGTGCACTGACCTGCCACAACTGCAGGCAACAGAAGCAGCAGAAGCAGCCGCGGGGTGCTGCTGCTGCTGCTGCCCAGCATCTTGTTCTCGAAGCTCGCCGTGGCTCCCAGCAAAGTTTGACCGTCACGTGCGCGCGCGCGCGTGTGTGAATGTGCACAGCGTTGAACTTCTGTCGCACCAGCGTTCGTCAGCCAACCGTGCTGCTAATCGGGGGGGGGGGGGGGGAGGGGGTGTGCAGGGGGAAGGGCAACCAACTAAACACCAACACGCAGTTCTAAAGCAATCCGTCGTTCTCCGCTCTGAAGAACCGGGCGCCACAACTTCGTGTGGACGACAGCTGCAATAAAAGCCTGGAGGAAAACGCAGCGATCCCAGCGCTGTGCACTGGGCTTTAAGGCGTTCATCCACGGCGCGCCCCCGTGAGCACGGAATGTATTTGCCCCTGCTCGCGCGATATTTCCGAGAAACCGCCGCACGCTTTCCCTAAAGTGAACCCCACCCCCTCCCGACGAACATCGTCGTGATGCAAGACGGCTTTTGTTTTGGGGTGGGGAATTTTATTTTATTTTTTAAAAAAATCCCCGAGCCACACGATGGTCTGGGATTGTGGCTTCCGGCGAGGCGTGAGATTCGACTCAAGGCTGTCGATTGCATTAGCGGAGTTGGCTGCAAGGGCCGTGTTGTCCAAGAGGCCGCAACAGACGCTGCACCTTAGGCGGACAGAAATATATTTGACCGTGTAAAAAATTTTTTTTAGGTAAAGTCACGTGGGGTAGAAATAAAATGAAATGAATCACGACGTTTCGATCGCGACACGATCGGTCTTCATCAGGTTGGGACAGCCACAGCAAGAAAGCGTGCAGAAGTAGGCGAGATAGCTGCCGTGGCAAGATCTGTTTAGAGTCAGGAGCAGTGGCAGAGGCTGATGTGAGTGTGGTCGGTAGTAGAGATGCCGCGACAACAAGGTAATAGGGACCACATTTGCACTCAAATCTGCTTCTGTCACTGCTCCTAACTCTAAACAGATCTTGCCACGGCAGCTATCTCGCCTACTTCAGCATGTTTTCTTGCTGTCGTGATTTCTTTGATTTAATTCTATTTATTCCCACGTGATTTTACCGAAAGAACCAACGAGTATGGATTCCTGCAGTCACGAAAGCTCCAAATCAAGACTGACCGTGGTTTTTGTTCTTGTTTGTATGATACAACAACATTTTTTTCCGAGATATCTTCTTGAATAATAATAATATATATCTATACAGCACAAGGATATGCAACAGTTTATATACGAAGAGGCATGAGTCATGTCAATCTTAATCGTTTTTTTGTCATAAGGTGAGAGTAGAAATTTACACCAGAGACGAACTTTTCGATATTTTGTCACTGCAAAATGAGCAATGGCATCTTGAAGCGGTGTGGTTCGCACTATTCGAGCGAGTGACAGGAGCGGTGGTAGTGACACGGGCGAGCAGCAGCAGCAGCAGCAGCGCCGACCGTAGAAAGTCATCACTGAAGGCCGACGAAACAGAAGTGCCTAGGGTCTACTAGAACCGTCATCCGGCTCTGAGTAGCTCCTGGTGCTAACAACGTGGGCTCGCATCCACGGTGCCGTCACCACACAGTCCAGTAGAGATGTTCTTGCTCGGACCCGGTGTGCATCCATGGTGTGGATGCGTCGTTGCCAGGGGCGTCAAGCACGCGGCCTGCGGGCTGGGGGCTGCACCCGCTACCACGACTCCCTTCGTCTGGTCCGCCACGTGCTCACATTTCATTGACTTATTCATATATGGGGGGAGGTGGGGGGGGTGGGGGTGGGGGGGGAGTGGGGGGGAGCTGTCCCTGTGCCGATGACGTCACGGCCGCGATTATGACGCTGCCCAGTGGCAGCGCCATAATCGTGGCCGTGACGTCATCGGCGTAGTATAATCAGCTGTGACGTCATCATCACCGTCATTAACAGTGGGCCATGATCGGTCCACTGCTGTATCAATTCCCCCCCCGTCCCCTCCCACCCAAGCCAGCCTCACGGTCTTGGCGAGAAGTGACGACCCCACAGATTCCCATTCACATCCATAGATTATATTCGTACATGACGACGCACGTGACGTTATAATAAGTTGTGTAGACGCTGCAGCGTCATTCGCTGCGAGTGGCATCTCTGCAATGATTATACAGCACGCAGAAATCGCATGGTTTTTAGGGGGGGCTAAATCCCAACTGTGTAGCAACTTGGATGAAGTAAAATGTGAGAAAAGAATCCTCCCCAGAAGAGTAAAACTCGATGATGAGCAGTAAACAAAAGTGAGGAGTGGAGGCACGAAGCCCTAAGGGGGGTCACACAAATCGTGAATTATTCTCAGGGGGAGTTGTCCCCGGCACAGGGCCACGATCGCAGCGCGTTCACAGACGCGGCTCTGCGTGCCGCGACGCTGCGGGAGACGTCGCAATAATAAATAAATAAATACGCGGGCGAGGGCTGGCGCCAGATTTTGTTGTTTGAAGGCCACGCGCGCGACTCCGACTCGAGCGGTGGGACTTTCCCCGCGGTCCACGTGGAGCCTCGTGGGGGACCGCTTCACGCGTGGGGGTAGTGGGGGTGGCGGTGGGGGTGGTGGGGGTGGTGGTGGGGGTGGGGGTGGTGGTGGGGCTGGGGGTGATGGGGGTAGTGGTGGGGGTGGTGGTGGGAGTGGTGGGGGTGGTGGTGGTGGTGGTCTGTGTGGAGTGGTGGGGGGGGGTCTGTGTGGAGTGGTGGTGGGGGTCTGTGTGGAGTGGTGGGGGTCTGTGTGGAGTGGTGGTGGGGGTCTGTGTGGTGGTGGTGGTGGGGGTCTGTGTGGAGTGGTGGTGGTGGTGGGGGTCTGTGTGGAGTGGTGGGGGGGGGGGGTGGTGGTGGTGGGGGTCTGTGTGGAGTGGTGGGGGTCTGTGTGGAGTGGTGGGGGTCTGTGTGGAGTGGCGGTGTTGGGGCTGTCTTGGGAGTCGAGGTGCGGCTCTCTGCTGCGCGCTCTGCGTGGGGTCTCCACCTCACCACGCGTGGACTCGCACGTGGAGAGGCATGGGACTCGCACAGAGACCCATAGAGTCACACGGAGATCTCTAGAAACCATCGACTCGCACAGAGACCCATAGAGTCACGTGGGGGATCCATAGATTCGCGTGCACCCTTAGACTCCCACGTAGACCATCATAGAGCCATGAACTGGGAGATCCATAGACTTCCGTAGACTCGCACAGAGACCCATAGACCCTCGGAGAGCCACGGACTTGGGTGGAGCCACAGATTCACATTGAGAGCCAGACTCGCACCAAAGACTCGCACATAGACCCAGAGACTCGCACATAGACCCAGAGACTCGCACATAGACCCAGAGACTCGCACATAGACCCAGAGACTCGCGCATAGACCCAGAGACTCGCGCATAGACCCAGAGACTCGCGCATAGACCCAGAGACTCGCACATAGACCCAGAGACTCGCACATAGACACAGAGACTCGCACATAGACACAGAGACTCGCACATACACCCAGAGACTCGCGCATAGACCCAGAGACTCGCGCATAGACCCATGAACTCGCACATAGACCCAGAGACTCGCACATAGACCCAGAGACTCGCACATAGACCCAGAGACTCGCACATAGACCCAGAGACTCGCGCATAGACCCAGAGACTCGCGCATAGACCCAGAGACTCGCACAGAGACCCAGAGACTCGCATAGAGACCCAGAGACTCGCACATAGACACAGAGACTCGCACATAGACCCAGAGACTCGCGCATAGACCCAGAGACTCGTGCATAGACCCAGAGACTCGCACATAGACCCAGAGACTCGCGCACAGACCCAGAGACTCGCACAGAGACTCGCACATAGACCCAGAGACTCGCACAGAGACTCGCACATAGACCCAGAGACTCGCACATAGACCCAGAGACTCGCACATAGACCCAGAGACTCGCGCAGAGACCCAGAGACTCGCCCATAGACCCAGAGACTCGCACATAGACCCAGAGACTCGCACATAGACCCAGAGACTCGCACATAGACTCAGAGACTCGCACAAAGACCCAGAGACTCGCACATAGACCCAGAGACTCGCACAGAGACCCAGAGACTCGCACAAAGTCGCGCTGTGCGCGTCTCTCGGCGTGGCTCTGCGGGGCTGTGGCCACGCCGTCTCCCACCGGGGGGCGCTGTCGTCTTGCCGGCGACAAAGCGGCGACCTCGAGGACTCTCACCGAGCACCGTGAACTTGCATCGAGATCCAGAGCCTCGCAGTCCCGTAGCCAGCAGCACGCCCGGCCGCCTTTGTCTCCCCAGTGGCGACGTTTACACATCACACCAGCTACTCGTTTTAGGCTGAGTCTACCTAGGGGACAGGTTCATAGCACAATGCGCTCACCGGATTACACACAACACCTACAAGCGCATGTAATGATAGAGTTGTCAACGGTGTGTGCAGTCGGGAGTTGTCGGTCCTTTAAAGGGACATGGAATGTGGAATTCCCACCTCTGGCTGAGGGCGGCTCTGAGGGACGAGTTCCTCCCAGAGGTCGACAGAGACAGAGAGACAGACAGAGAGACAGAGACAGACAGAGAGACAGACAGAGAGACATACAGAGAGACAGACAGAGAGACAGAGAGAGACTTTTGTGAGGAGTGACGAGGTGAGGAGGGCGAGTGGTGAGTGACGAGGTGAGGAGGGTGAGGAGTGAGTGACGAGGTGGGATGAGGGGAGCTTGAGCCCTTGGACAGAGAACGCAACAAGTTTGTGTCTTTATTTACATAATACACTCAGGTACAATGCGAGTCTTGCATCACAAAGCACGACTCTAAGCACGTCTTAACCACAGTGAATGTCACAACCAGAAGACTTGAGACGATCAGCACGGCCAGTCGGGGGCGCGACATCAACTCACAATGAACAACACGAACACAAGGGGCAGAATCGATACACAAAGACGCGACATTCGATGTTTAAAACATGACCCTTAATTTTTCTAAAACCAGTGTATGAATCTTTAACTTTATTTCATATCCGATTCTTTGGGTCTGTCGGTAAAGTCACGTAGATAGAAAAAATAAAAGTAAATAAAATAAAAACTGCGACGTTTCGATCACAACACAAGCGATCGTCATCAGGGAAAAAAATATACAGGGTGTTTCAAAAATATGGACCCAATTTCAAAGATATAGCGATTTAAAATCGGGTCCATCTTTTTAAACAACCTGTATGTCATATCACCGAGCAAAGTTTCATGTCAGACGTTCCCATCCCCCCCTCTGAAGCCTCTCACCCACCCACGCAGCCACTCACCCACTCATCCACCCACTCATCCACCCAGCCACTCACCCACTCACCCACTCATCCACCCACTCACCCATCCACTCACCCATCCACTCACCCATCCACTCACCCATCCACTCACCCATCCACTCATTAACCCAGCCACCCACTCACCCACTCACCCACCCACCCAAACACTCACCCACCCACCCAGCGACTCACCCACTCACCCAGCGACTCACCCACTCACCCATCCACTCACCCATCCACTTACCCACCCACTCACCCATCCACTTATTAACCCAGCCACCCACTCACCCACTCACCCATCCAGCCACTCACCCACCCACCCAGCCACTCACCCACTCACCCACCAGGGCCGTGCTATCCCATAGGCCAAAGGGTGCACTGTGCCTAGGTTCTACGATTTTTGTTTCAATAATTTCAAATGAAATCCGTTTATCTGCGGCACACTTCCGCACCCTCCCATCGAATGAGGGCACAGACTAAATCGTGAACCTGCCATCAGTAACGACATCTGTCCAGCGGCTGGACGAAGTAGCGACGCGTGAAGCGAGTGGAGTGACAGCGGTGGTCGTGACACGGGGCAGCAGTAGCAGCAGCATCTGTAGAGAGTTATCACTCAAAGTGCCTACGAAACTGCAGTGCCGAGGGCCTAACAAGAACTTGAATCCGGCCCTGCTCTCAACAAATCCACACCACAGGCAGAGACCTCACTGAGTGCGACCCACCGGTAGGATGCCTGGAGAGAAAATGTTTACTGGGGATAAAAATTAATCTAAAAATCTACAAAGCGCTTAACAGAATGAGAACGCAGCAGCAGCATTGGCCGAGGAAACGTTGCCGCCCACAAAGTCGCTCAGCCAATGAGAGCGACGCACGGGTGTCAGCCAATCAGGCCCCACCCATCCCCCCTCGCGATTCTACCATTATCACGATTGGTAATTACGATTTGAATAAATTAAGAATCGATTTGTTTAGCCAGGTGAGAGAGAGAGATCTCGCGAGATCGGGGTAGAGTCTCAGTCTCCGTTTAACACGTTGGCCATCGTGACCAATGTCATCCATAACACAGTTTTTTGGATTAGATCGCGTAAACATATGTCGTTAAAGCCGCCACCAACCTTACTAACTGACTGTGTTGGGTGGTGGCAGGTTTAACGACACATTTACCATCACGCGTTAACTCTGCGTCTCACACACAGCGCTCGCGTGTTCACCATCACACGAACTCACGACCTCCTGTATACCAGGAGAGGTAGTTAACATCTCCTAGCCACAGTGGCGCCCATTATCAAGTGCACCCCAGATAGACTCGGGGCCTGGTGGAGCAATTTCAGGATTGGGGTCACGTGGTTTTGTTCACGGACACTCTGAGAAATCCAGGATAGAGAGGTGATGGAGTTGGAGACACGAGAGATATCCGGTAGAAAGTTACGGTTGTCAAGGCAAGAGGTGGCAAAGGCACGGTCTAAGGTTTCAAGTAAAACTTGGAACCCGGAGCACACGGGCAATTTGTGTGTGCGACCCGCTCCACGTGCCAACCAATCAGAAGGGGCATCGAGCTGCCTGACCATTATTAAACGGGCACGGTCTCCAATACTTGTTGTTGTCTCTCTTTGTGTCCGTTCATCAGCGGCTGCCCGTTCACGTCCCCATGCACGTCAGAATTTCCACCGTCACTGTGGAAATAAAAACAAACAGCAGGTTTACCAACCACGCGGTGCCTGCACACAGCAACGCGTGGACGCGTCTCGCCGGGAACGAGCAGAGGGCCTCAATGGCGCTCACGCTTTAATATCGGTTCGAGTCGGCAAGACCAAGGGGCTGAACCCAGGAGCTCGGTGCTGGCTCAGCGTCCCCGGCACGGCCGCTGTGAACCGCTCAGGAAGAGACCCAGCGGTGCGTGAACGTGAAACCTCGTCAGTGACACCGAGTGGGAGGCCACCGAGAGAGCTCAGCCCGGCTGCCCACGTCCACGCTCATTCATCAGGGGCTGGGCTGGGCGGTCCGGGTGCCTGGGATGGAGGGGGGGCGGGGGGGGTGGGCACCTGCGTGAGTGGAGGCAGGGCCATGAAGACCGACGGTGATTCTTCTTCTTCCTGACGAAGACGGAGACGATGATGATGATGACAATAACAGCTAGAGGCACCAGGACCCAGGCAGCCACCACCCCTCCCTTGTGCGAGGTCTCCTCTAGAGGGGCGAGGGTGACGTCACTCACGTCCCCACCGTGTGACCGTGGGGCTGCAGAGACACGGAGACAGAGAGGGGGGGGCTCAGCGTGACCCCCACTCGCACCCAGCACCACAGCCCCACCCAGCGACTCAACACGGCTTCACGTGCAGCAGGGAGAGACCACTCACTCAACACGGCTTCACGTGCAGCAGGGAGAGACCACTCACTCAACACGGCTTCACGTGCAGCAGGGAGAGACCACTCACTCAACACGGCTTCACGTGCAGCAGGGAGAGACCACTCACTCAACACGGCTTCACGTGTAGCAGGGAGAGACCACTCACTCAACACGGCTTCACGTGCAGCAGGGAGAGACCACTCACTCAACACGGCTTCACGTGCAGCAGTGAGAGAACACTCACTCAACACGGCTTCACGTGCAGCAAGGAGAGACCACTCACTCAACACGGCTTCACATGGAGCAGCAGGGAGAGACCACTCACTCAACACGGCTTCATGTGCAGCAGGGAGAGACCACTCACTCAACACGGCTTCACGTGCAGCAGGGAGAGACCACTCACTCAACACGGCTTCACATGGAGCAGCAGGGAGAGACCACTCAACACGGCTTCATGTGCAGCAGGGATAGACCACTCAACACGGCTTCACGTGCAGCAGGGATAGACCACTCACTCAACACGACTTCACGTGCAGCAGGGAGAGACCACTCAACACGGCTTCACATGCAGCAGGGAGAGACCACTCAACACGGCTTCACATGCAGCAGGAAGAGACCACTCACTCAACACGGCTTCATGTGCAGCAGGGAGAGACCACTCAACACGGCTTCACGTGCAGCAGGAAGAGACCACTCGCTCAACACGGCTTCACGTGCAGCAGGGAGAGACCACTCACTCAACACGGCTTCACGTGCAGCAGGGAGAGACCACTCACTCAACACGGCTTCACGTGCAGCAGGAAGAGACCACTCACTCAACACGGCTTCACGTGCAGCAGGGAGAGACCACTCACTCAACACGGCTTCACGTGCAGCAGGTAGAGACCACTCACTCAGCACGGCTTCACGTGTAGCAGGGAGAGACCACTCAACACGGCTTCACATGCAGCAGGTAGAGACCACTCACTCAGCACGGCTTCACGTGTAGCAGGTAGAGACCACTCACTCAACACGGCTTCACATGCAGCAGGGAGAGACCACTCACTCAACACGGCTTCAGGTGCAGCAGGGAGAGACCACTCACTCAACACGGCTTCACGTGCAGCAGGGAGAGACCACTCACTCAACACGGCTTCACGTGCAGCAGTGAGAGACCACTCACTCAACACGGCTTCACGTGCAGCAGGGAGAGACCACTCACTCAACACGGCTTCACGTGCAGCAGTGAGAGAACACTCACTCAACACGGCTTCACGTGCAGCAGGGAGAAACCACTCACTCAACACGGCTTCACATGGAGCAGCAGGGAGAGACCACTCACTCAACACGGCTTCACATGGAGCAGCAGGGAGAGACCACTCACTCAACACGGCTTCACGTGCAGCAGGGAGAGACCACTCACTCAACACGGCTTCACGTGCAGCAGAGATAGACCACTCAACACGGCTTCACGTGCAGCAGGGATAGACCACTCACTCAACACGGCTTCACGTGCAGCAGGGAGAGACCACTCAACACGGCTTCACATGCAGCAGGAAGAGAGCACTCACTCAACACGGCTTCACATGCAGCAGGGAGAGACCACTCACTCAACACGGCTTCACGTGCAGCAGGGAGAGACCACTCACTCAACACGGCTTCACGTGCAGCAGGGAGAGACCACTCACTCAACACGGCTTCACGTGCAGCAGGGAGAGACCACTCACTCAACACGGCTTTACGTGCAGCAGGAAGAGACCACTCACTCAACACGGCTTCACGTGCAGCAGGAAGAGACCACTCACTCAACACGGCTTCACGTGCAGCAGGGAGAGACCACTCACTCAACACGGCTTCACGTACAGCAGGGACAGACCACTCACTCAACACGGCTTCACGTGCCACACTCAAAGGCACAATCCACGTGCATCACAGATTCCTGGCTGAGAATCACTCAGCTCTACAAATGCCCACTCCAGCCCTGCACCAGTTTTTCCATGACCCTTGACCTCCCGGCCTCAACCAGTTAGATCTCGTGCACCGTGCAACGCAAGTTCCCCCATAATCGCTTCATCCGTTTGAACAACGTCGTGACGAACGGTGCTCATTTTATTTTCTTATATATTTTACTATCTGACAAATTATAAAACAAGAAACTAAATCATGAAAGTTGTAAAACGAACGTGCATTATCCATTAAACGAGTGCTTTGCCGATTGTTAAGGAGTACAAATTAAACGACATCCTCATAGTGCGTGCATTATTCACAACGTAACTGACATCGTGCAGGCGCATGATGAGTGAACTCTGGTCGAGAACGCTTGAGCAGTCCTCGTCTTTATGCGTGCGAAAAGTAAAGCAAAGCAAATCACCAACATAATAAATGTGAACAAGCAAATACGAGATAATCATGTTTCCAAAGTCAACTTGTTATCTAGTTGTGAAGAGTTTCATAGCGACATTGATGGCTGCATCAGCTCCAGCGCCACGCTCGGCTCTTGTTCACCTGCAGGCATCACGTTCAGCAGCACCTCCCCTTGCACCACGGTGTTCTCCGCGTTACATCGGCGACAGTCGATGCGGCACAGAGCCACGGGGCCGAGGCTCTTTGGGAAGTTGGGGATGCCGATGGAGCAGTCTCCCGTCAGCACGTCTCCCACAGACTTCACGATACTCAAGTCCTCTTTTTCATACCCCAGAAAATAGATCTGCAATGACACAAACCACAATGTGGAAGGTCAACCACAATGGCACACGATGCCCACGGTCACATCGTCCTGAATGCCCCTGGGCTCGTTGAATGTCGCTGGCTAAGCAGGCTTGATGAGCTCGGTTACCACCTAGATGGGAGACCTCCTGGGGACACCAAGCGCTGTAGGCTTTGGCTGCAAGGCGACAAGGGGATGGCAAAATATCAACGTTGAGTTTGCGTAGAGTGGTAAGAGTGGGTCTACCTGTGGACTTGAATCTGTGTAGAGTATTGCGTGTAATCCCCCTCGTGTTAAACACGAGTTGCATCATGTGCTCTGGTTTCCCTCCACGTGAAGCCAAACTCTCATTAATGTGTTGTGTTGTAAACATGACAAATCAACTTCTTTATGAGGCACACGTTGTTTATTGTATTTTACTGCAGGGTCCCTAGCAGGAAGAGTATATCGGTCCCTTCACCCGCTTCCTAGGGAGCTATGGCCTCCGAACTATACGGGACCTACTCTGGTGACCCGTTCCCTATTGTCCTCCGACTGGGACCTAGGGGAGGCTAACTGACCCTGACCTCCTGGTCCGTGGGTCCTGACCACTGGCCTCACTGAGCTCCAGCCCTTAGACTGCAGAGCTTGGGGTCCAGGGTCCTATTCTCCAGCCCGGGCTTCAGTCTTCGGCGTGTAGATAACTGAGCCAGAGATCCCCGAGCAATGGCTTATATACAAGTTCGTGGCCGGCTCCGCCCTGGCCACGCCTTCCTTCTGGAATACTCTCAGGTGACATCGTTCCCCAAGTTCCCCCCCACCCAGGGGCCCGGGGAATGTGTCCCAGGATCCGTTAACTGGGATCCACCATTGGCCTCTCTGGCCCATGGCATTTGCCCTGGCGAGGTAACGCCTCTGCACTCTATTGACGGTAAGTGGAACGACAGGCTGTTGAATGGTGAGTGACAATCACCCCTACAAATGTACCGTCATTGAACATAGATCTCAGAGCAGTGCCTTCTTGAAATGGAGTTGAAATGGAGTTGTGAGACTTATTGGGACATTTCTGAATAATTAAAGGGCACCACATAACTTTGTTATTATCTGTTAGTGTCGACGTAGATATCAAGTACAGAGATAATTATTCACGGTTGACATGAAATGCGGCCGTCACCTTCTTCATCTCTCTGCTCGTCACGTTCTCTGCGTAGTGTCTGGGCATCGTGAAGCACAGGAGGATGATGTGGCTCAGGCTGGACGTCGGTGGGGAGAAGGAGCAGGGAATAGTCACGTTCTCTCCCTCCCTCACAGACAAACTCTGCGGAAGAGTGATCTGGAGCATCGCAGCCGATGCCGCATCTACAGGGAGACCGGTCACACTCGTTACAGATACAGGGAATATCCCTCAGTTTATAATACAGGTTGTTTGGGTTAGAGCGCGTAAATATATAAATGTCGTTAAACCTGCCACCACCCGACACAGCCAACTAGTAAGGGTTGTCACGTCAACAGAACGTGCCAATTCGTCACTAGTACAGCACACCGGTTGTGTGATGGAGAGCCAAGCCACAACATTTACAATCTGAGTACGACGTTTCGCCAGTAATTACAACGGGCATCATCAGGCGACAGCCAGATTTGTGGAGATATCCTCCTGTTTCTTTCCTTAAATAGAGTGGTAGCTGTGATGACATCACTTGTGGGCAACTTCTTGCGTGAAGTGTGGGGGGGTGAATTAATGAATGTTTATAAATGACTAAGGGTATCCATTGCCAGGTGGGTTATTTGCATGGTTCGGTTAACGAAATTTCTCCTTAAACGAAAGTGATAAATTATGAACTCTTTTCGATTTGGAAAATCAAATTTCCACGTGAAGGAAATTTCACCGGGGCCCGCACAGTGACGTCATCAAACAAAAAGGACCTGGGAAGCTGCATCACCCATCGGCGACAGCGTCACGCTACCTCCACAGTGCACAACAGCAACGTCTACACATCACCTTTACAAAGGGCTGATTATTTATGCTTTAATTATTCTTCAATCGTGTATAATCTGTATGTTTTTTCGTATTATTTAAGTGATATAGGTGATGCATATTTTTTAGTTTCGGAGTATATTTGGAATTAATGTCCGAAACACATCCATCATTTTTAGTATTAAATTGCAGTCAAGGGAAAAGCCATTCCGATTACTGAAATGTCGTTTAATCTACAGAGACAGCGCTTACACTCGTTACGCCACTCTGCAAAGGTTCGTCCAGTGGTAACAGGGATCTTGAAAACGCCGTTAAACACAGGGGTGCTACACCATCTACATTTGTAATTGTGGAGAATACATCAATAAAACTACGACCTCAATGGAAGCTACGACACGGTGAGCTCTGCGTAGCATCAGCTGTCGGAGAGGAACTCCGCTCACCTGGTGAGTGAGCGCAGTGAAACGTCTCCCCCTCGACCAAATCCTAGGGCTGCCTCCCCCCCACCGTCAGTGCCCAGACTCAGAGCGGCCGCTCGCGAGCCGAGTCTCAGCGGAGCGCGTGGCCCGGGAGCCACTGGCACGGCCAGGGCGGTGTCACAGGGGTCACATGACCCGTGACCTCATCGTGACGGTGGTTTATTAAAAACTAAAAAACTATTCTAATTAGCAGGTAAGGCCCACTGAGCTATGTAGCTCTTTTTTACAAAAGTGACCTGGCCACCAATGACCGCTCAACGAAGTGGCTTGTGTCGTGCTGAAATTTACAGCAGCAAAATAATCGGAATGCACGTTGATTATAAATGTGGAGGATAAAACCAGAGGACCCGGAGACAAATCCACGTGACCACAGGCAGAGAGACACGCAAACTCCAAATATACAGCAGGCGTCAGGGTCGGAATCGAACCCACAATCTCCTGCGTTCCAGGCGAGGGAGGTAACGGTGAACTCTCACCTGGCTAACGAAAGGGCACCGTCCAATGTGTGCTGGGTGAGTGGCTCTGGGTGTGAACTCACCCAGAAGGGAGATGAACAGTGGGATGATGACCTGCTTCATGGTCGGCTCTGTCTGCTGATGATCACAAACGAGAATGAGTCATTAGTCCATCTCACGGCCTCACTCCAATGGCTCACGCTCCCTCACATTCACATCACTCCGCTTCTACATCTTTTCATTTGTGACGTCAGCGATGAGATTAATCTTTTGGATTTAGTTATCCCAACTTTAATGACATAAACACGCGCTTCATTTGAACACGCTGCATGGACACTGGCTCCTAAGTGAAATAAAACGATGTTCTGGGAATGCCAAGGCACAGTCATCCTGTACGGCAATCACATCCCTAGCCCTGCTGCTTGTTCAGTCTGAACGGAACAAGCAGTGGAATCTCGCAGAAGCGGCTATGCATCTGGTTCAGTCGTGGTTGTCGCCGTGTAGGGAGGGGGGCTACGACCCTTGAAGGCGAGGAACTCCACCAAACTCACGGACAAAGTAGCAGAATGTGAAACTGAGAAGTCTGTGGTGATGGAGCAGGCAGTGTTGTGATTATGAGCAGCGGTATAGCAAGTTAAACACGTTCTAGGCTTTCACGTAAATATGTCTTTAAACCCCCCATCACTTGACACAGCCAATTAGTAAGGTTTGTCACGTAAACAGAACGTGGCCAATTCATTACTAGAGCAGCACACCGGTGTGTTGGAGAGCAAAGCCACAACATTTACATCGGAGTACGAAATTTCTCCAGTAATTACAACCAACTACATCAGGCGACAGAGCTGTGCAGAAATCCTGTTTTGTTACTTAGAGCGGTGGACGTGATGGTGTCACTTGTGAGCACTTCTTACACGCAGTGGGGGGGGGGGGGGATGAATGTGTAGTGGGTTCCACGTAGTCTTTAGAGGCAACACGGTTGATTTGAATCTTAACAGAAAGCCCCCTTTACTCCCACTACCTGGGGAGGTATGGCCTCCGGGCTGACGTGGCCTATCACTGGGGCTACGGGCTCTGAGTCCTCTGGCTAAGGGTGGCCTAGGGGAGGCTTTGCTGACCCGACCCAGCCAAGGAGCGGGTCCTGACCACTGGTCCGCGCTCGGCCCTGGCCCTCACAAGGACGTCGGGTCCCGTGGTCCCAGGGTCCTAGCCTAGCTGCCCTTCTGTCTTCGTCTTCAGAGCACTGCCTCGAGCCCACCTGAGGTCCGTCTTTTATACTCGTCCCGGGGACTCTCCGCCCCCGGTACCGCCCCCTTTCTGGAACCTTCCAGGGGACTCTGGAATAACCCCCCAACCCCTCACCTGGGGTCGGGAGGGGAACTCGGCCTCTCAACGGTCCGGCTCTCTCTCTAGCTCAGGGTGGCACCCCCTATCGACCCGTGGCCGCAACTACAGGCAAGTACACAGGGCGGTGTGCGATTTCCGACGCTGCAAATGCACCAAACCCCGGGACAAAGCAACCGACTGGGAGACCGGGGAGCCGGAGACAATCCTCGGTCGAGGCGCTTCAGCGCTACGCCCTTTTGTAATAACGCGGCGCGCTCTGCATTTAGACCTCCTGCCGACGTACGCGGGGCAATGATCGTAATGACGTCAGTCGGCACCGCCACGCACGCCCACCTAGCCTGGCACCGCGACCCAATGGCGGAGCGATAGACACACAGGTAGACACGGTGGAACAAACAGCCACTGCCTCACACCAGACACACAACGTCACACACTCACAATGGTAAAGACACGAGGAGTCGATGAACCAAATGGAACCCCGAGAATTGCGATGGGGACCCAGGGACCCAGGGACACAGGGACCCAGGGACGCAGTCTCCGTGAGCAGGGCGAGAGAGACGACCTCACCTCCTCTCAGCTGTGATGCTGCTGCTGCTGGGGGGAGCAGCAGGAGGAGGAGCAGGAGGAGCAGCAGGAGGAGCAGGAGGAGGAGCAGCAGGAGGAGCAGGAGGAGCAGGAGGAGGAGCAGCAGGAGAAGCAGGAGGAGGAGGAACAGGGACGTGAAGTCGCCTCCAGTACCCGGCGATAGCAGCAACAGCGACGACTCTGACCGAAAACTTTAAAGCAATGTGACAGTGACGTCACGAGGCTAGTGGAGGCAGGTGGGGCGCGGGGGAGGGGAGGGGCGCGGGGGAGGGGAGCGGGGAGGGGAGGGGCGCGGGGGAGGGGAGGGGCGCGGGGGAGGGACGGCGGGTGCCTCCACTCTCGAAGTGTCCAATCAGAGTCGCCTGCTGCTGCTGCTGCCGCCGCGTGACACTCGGCGCGCGCCGGGGGAGAGGGGGGGGGGACATTCTCGTTTGGAAGTGAGCAGTGACGTCACTAGGCTAGCGGAGGCAGGTGGGCCGAGTATTGTGTGTGGTGGTGGTGTGTGTGTGTGGTGTATGTGTGTGTGTGGTGATGTGTGTGTGTGGTGTATGTGTGTGTGTGGTGATGTGTGTGTGTGGTGGTGTGTGTGTGTGTGTGGTGGTGTGTGTGGTGTGTGTGGTGTGTGTGTGGTGGTGTGTGTGTGGTGGTGTGTGTGTGTGTGGTGGTGTGTGTGTGGTGTGTGTGTGTGTGTGTGGTGGTGTGTGTGTGGTGGTTGCTGTGTGTGTGTGGTGGTGTGTGTGTGGTGGTGTGTGTGGTGTGTGTGGTGGTTGCTGTGTGTGTGTGTGTGGTGGTGTGTGGTGGTGGTGTGTGTGTGTGGTGTATGTGTGTGTGTGGTGGTGTGTGTGTGTGGTGTGTGTGTGTGTGTGGTGTGTGTGTGGTGTATGTGTGTGTGTGGTGGTGTGTGTGGTGGTGGTGTGTGTGTGGTGGTGTGTGTGGTGGTATGTGTGTGGTGGTATGTGTGTGGTGGTGGTGACGGTGTGTGGTGGTGACGGTGTGTGTGGTGACGGTGTGTTTGGTGACGGTGTGTTTGTGGTGATGTGTGTGGTTGCTGTGTGTATGGTGGTGGTTGCTGTGTGTATGGTGGTGGTGTGTATGTGGTGGTGTGTGTGTGGTGGTGTGTGTGTGGTGGTGTGTGTGGTGGTATGTGTGTGGTGGTGTGTGTGTGGTGGTGGTGACGGTGTGTGGTGGTGACGGTGTGTGGTGGTGACGGTGTGTGTGGTGACGGTGTGTGTGGTGACGGTGTGTTTGGTGACGGTGTGTATGTGGTGATGTGTGTGGTTGCTGTGTGTATGGTGGTGGTTGCTGTGTGTATGGTGGTGGTGTGTGTATGGTGGTGCTGTGTATGGTGGTGCTGTGTATGGTGGTGGTGTGTGTGGTGCTGTGTATGGTGGTGGTGTGTATGGTGGTGTGTGTGGTGGTGTGTGTGTGGTGGTGTGTGTGTGGTGGTAGTGGTGCTGCGTGTGTGTGGTGGTGTATGGTGGTGCTGTGTGTGTGTGAGCACCACTATCGCCTCAACTCCGCTAAGGGGACATCCATTGAGTCCGTACGCATGGAGTGGGGAGGGGTTAACACAAATGTGTACAGCTTGTGTATGGGGGGCTACTGACAATGTATGCATAGGAAACGGGGGGTGTAGCCTCGATAATAATATTGATATTCGATTATTTTCGATGATAAGTTGTCTACACTGGCCTTCAAACGAGTTGCATAGTCCGGCGGTAGACTGTTTGCTTAAACACATTAATATTATTCATCCTTGATCGTCTCTGCGTGGATTAAATATCGGGCGTTCTAACAGGTCCCTGCAGGGTGGGCTGGTAGGAACATTGGCGAAGTAACGTCACGGTGCCTTCGAACTTCGCCTCGCAAATGGTATTCGGCTGTGGGCTGTCTGAATTTGCCACATCCCCAAAAGCGAAGTTCGCAAATGAGATAATGTGACTTCCAAATGTTGGGTGCAAAAATGTTGGGTGCAATACGACATATCAAGTCTCTGCGCTGTCTATTGCTGATTTTACACCCAACAGCACGAGATTTCACTTCGTTAAAGTATTGAAAGGGGACGGACGGACACATTAATCTATTGCAGGCTGGTACACTCAGTTTACAACTTCCTTCCTACCAGTATAAAGGATGTCAGTGACAAGAGAGTGACTCTCAGTGACGTCACTCACGTGGTTAAATAAAAGATGTCAGTGACAAGAGAGTGACTCTCAATGACGTCACTCACGTGGTTAAATCAAGGATGTCAGTGACAAGAGAGTGACTCTCAATGACGTCACTCACGTGATCAAATAAAGGATGTCAGTGACAAGAGAGACTCTCAATGACGTCACTCACGTGGTTAAATAAAGGATGTCAGTGACAAGAGAGTGACTCTCAATGACGTCACTCACGTGGTTAAATAAAGGATGTCAGCGACAAGAGTGACTCTCAATGACGTCACTCACGTGGTTAAATAAAGGATGCCAGTGACAAGAGAGCGACTCTCGGTGACGTCACTCACGTGGTTAAATAAAGGATGTCAGTAACAAGAGAGTGGCTCTCAATGACGTCACTCACGTGGTTAAATCAAGGATGTCAGTGACAAGAGAGTGACTCTCAATGACGTCACTCACGTGGTTAAATAAAGGATGTCAGCGACAAGAGAGTGACTCTCAATGACGTCACTCACGTGGTTAAATAAAGGATGACAGTCACACGAGATTTCACTTCGTTAAAGTATTGAAAGGGGACGGACGGACGGACACATTAATATATTGCAGGCTGGTACACTCAGTTCACAACTTCCTTCCTACCAGTAGAAGATTCGGGGGGTAAAAAGTCAAAGTCCGTGTGCGCACAGAGAGAGGGGAGGGGTCAAGTAGACAGATTTGTCGTCCCTACTCAATGGATGACCCCTAACGCGATGCTGAATGTGTGGCGGGGTGATTTCTCACAATGCCATCGAGTGAATTCTTACAGTGGCATGGGAAGAAGCCGAATGAGAATGTGGCACCTCGTGACGTCACTGCTCAGTCGTCGTGTTAAAGCTGTCGGGCAGATCCCCACACACAGCCCCAAGTGGCACAGAGTGTGATAGACACACAGTCATACATAGACACAGAGTCATACATAGACACACAGACACACATAGACACACAGTCATACATAGACACACAGACACACATAGACACACAGTCATACATAGACACAGTGATAGACACACAGACACACAGTCATACATAGACACAGTGATAGACACACACAGACACACAGTGATACATAGACACACAGAGTGATAGACACAGACACACAGTCATACATAGACACAGAGTGTGATAGACACACAGGCACACAGTCATACATAGACACACAGTGTGATAGACACACAGTCATACATTGACACACAGTGTGTGATAGACACACAGACACACAGTCATACATAGACACAGTGTGATAGACACACAGTCATACATAGACACAGAGTGTGATAGACACACAGACACACAGTCATACATAGACACACAGTGTGTGATAGAGAGACAACCTCACCTCTCAGCTGTGATGCTGCTGCTGGGGAGGAGGAGGAGGAGCAGGGACGTGCTGTCGCCTCCGATACTCTGCGATGATGGCAGCAGCAGCAGCGACCACGCCGGTGTTTTATAGCCCGGGGGGGGGGGCTCTATCTCACCCCCAGAACCCCTCCACCTCCACCCCATAGGTCCACACCTCCACCAACCCCCAGAACCCAACAACCACCAATAAAACATCGCTGGTGCCGTGTCTTCCGTGTGTCCGTGGCTATGACATCTCCCCTCCTGTTCTGCTTCGAGGCAGTGAGCTTTTGTTCGTGACAAAACTCGTGTGTTAAAATAAATAAATAAAATACTTCGTTCAAATGTTTTCATACCTGACAATAAATGCTCCGCCCTTTGTGGCAGATCGACTAAGCAAGGACGTCTAGTGGAGTGATGTTGTATCATCGTGAACTAGATACATCCATACGTTGACTTCGCCTTAATTACCAGAAGACAATCACACTTCCATCTGAATGGGTGCTTGCATGAAACGTCCTTTAGACATCCAGCCAGAGGCGTGATGCGCACATTTAACTGAAAACCAAATACAATCTACAAATGTGCACATCGCTCTTTAATTAGTACTGTATAAGTATACATTGTTAGAGAAGTATGTACATTGTGTATCGACTTTGCAACTCGTTTATGTGCTTCAGTTACCCTCTGTAAATGTTTTGAATTCAGAGGTTGTATATTTGTTTCATGAGACTGAGGAATGTTTAGCTTTGTGTTCATAAACATGACTACAGTACATGATGAAAGGGGTGTCTTGTCGTGAGCGGTATTCGCAGTACAGGTTTTTGATTTTCAATGGTGAGTTGGACATTTAACTTGGGTTCTAAAGACATCGCTGTTGAGACGAGGCGCCTCTCACAACGCCGTGGGAGGCGGCGGTTCTCTTGGTCCCGATGGCAACCCGCGTTGACCGGCGTGGTGAAGTATGGTCAAACACCCCCCACCACCTGTATGTGTGTGTGAGTGCTGTGTAGTGTGTGTACTGTGTGAAAAATGTGTGTAGTGTGTGTACTGTGTGTGAAATGTGTGTAGTGTGTGTACTGTGTGTGAAATGTGTGTAGTGTGTGTGCTGTGTGTGAAATGTGTGTAGTGTGTGTGTACTGTGTGTGAAATGTGTAGTGTGTGTACTGTGTGTGAGTGGTGTGTGTGTACTCTGTGTGAAATGTGTGTAGTGTGTGTACTGTGTGTGAAATGTGTGCAGTGTGTGTACTGTGTGTGAGTGCTGTGTGCGTGAGTGTTACGTGAGTTGTGTGTGTGTTTTGTCTGAGTGGTGAAGGGTGTGTGTTGTGTGTGTTGTGAGTGCGTGTTGTGTGTGTGTTGTGAGTGCGTGTTGTGTGTGTGTTGTAAGTGTGGTGAACGGTGTGTGTTTTGTGAGTGTTGTGTGTGTGTGTGAAGGGTGTGTGTTTTGTATGAGTGCTGTGTGCAAGTTCTGTGTGTGAGTTCTGTGTGTTGTGTGTGAATGTTATGTGTCTTAGTGTTGTGTGTGAGTGTTGGGTGTGCGAGTGTTGTGTGAGTGCTATGTGAATGTTGTGTGTGAGTGTTGTGTGTATGTGTGTGTGAGAGTGTTACGTGTGCGTGACTAGTCATCTGTAAGATGCGCCTGCCATTCTTCTACTCCGGTGGTGGGTGTACACCCAGGACCCCATTTAAACCCACAGTGGCCTGGTGTTAGCTAGCTGATGAAAGTTGTAAGCGAGAATTTCATCATCGCTTGCAGCTGGGATTGGCATCGTCCCCTACTCCTCTGATGTCGAGGGTAAATGGGCGAGGTTTAGGAATGTGACTCATGCAGCTGCAATGGCTGCTTTGGGTACGCGGTCCAGACCTCCCCAGAGACCCTGGCTGACAGAGGAGGTGTTCAGGATGGTTGAGAAAGCGACAGGCCCACTGTCATCGGCTACAGAATCCCACGTCAGAGAATGAGGAGGCTTACCGCAGCCTTCGCTCGGAGGTTCGGAGAGCCGTGAGGCGCTGCAAGGATGGGTGGTGGTCGCGGGTTGCTGAGGAGATGGAGTCTGCCTCAGTGGCCCGTGATCACAAATCTCTATTTAACTCCATCAAAACGTAACCTGCAGCACCACACCTATTACCATCATTAGGGGAAAAAACGGTGATCCAATCTCCGACCCCCAGGAACAGGTTTGCAGATTTGCTGAGCATTTCTGAGGTCCTGGGAGAGGGAAAATCCCTCAGCCAGGAAAACATCGTGGCACAAAGTGGGGATGACCCTGCTGAGGCTGCAGTGCCTCAAATATTGGAAGTCACCCCCTGTGAGTGGCTGGCTGAGGTGCCATCTGTTGAGGAAGTACTTGCCCCTACAGTCTGTTAAGGCTATATGGGGGAGCTCTGTCTACAAATAGCTGTGTGGGTGATGTGTTTCTTCTCGTCCTGTTTCCGGCCGCTCCGCTGAGAAGATTTCCTTAGGCGATCGCTCGGGACGACCCGCAGATCTGTGTGAGTTGCGGTGAACAGATTTCCCTTGGCAGCCAGTCCTGCGGTTAAGAGCCCCGCGTGCTGGCGGTGAAACCCCGCGGCAGATGACTGAGCGAGTTAGCAGCCGCAACCCGCAGTGAGCGTTTGAGGCACGCAGCTCCCAAGGCCCCCACCCGCTGGCAAGGGGCCGCGTGTCCACTCCAGTAGTGTGGTTCTACAACACGACACGTGACACCTGCCTACAGTCCTCATACCTGGCCACTCCAGTAGTGTGTTTCTACAACACGACACGTGACACCTGCCTACAGTCCTCATACCTGGCCACTCCAGTAGTGTGGTTCTACAACACGACACGTGACACCTGCCTACAGTCCTCATACCTGGCCACTCCAGTAGTGTGGTTCTACAACACGACACGTGACACCTGCCTACAGTCCTCATACCTGGCCACTCCAGTAGTGTGGTTCTACAACACGACACGTGACACCTGCCTACAGTCCTCATACCTGGCCACTCCAGTAGTGTCGTTCTACAACACGACACGTGACACCTGCCTACAGTCCTCATACCTGGCCACTCCAGTAGTGTCGTTCTACAACACGACACGTGACACCTGCCTACAGTCCTCATACCTGGCCACTCCAGTAGTGTCGTTCTACAACACGACACGTGACACCTGCCTACAGTCCTCATACCTGGCCACTCCAGTAGTGTCGTTCTACAACACGACACGTGACACCTCTGGTGGGAGCCGCCGCTCTCATGGCGTTGTTGATCACACTACGTAACACAACTTTTGCTCCTGGGTAGTAAGTGATATTTCGTAATGGTTTATGCCTAAAAAGTAGAGAAAATGGCTCTTATTCCCCAAAATCTTTGCTTTGGTGACCAGGACCGGCACTGTGTCACACGAGGGGCTGGGTGGCCAGCACCACGCCCGACCGCCTTTGTCTCTCCCAGTGGCGATGTTTACTACACACCGTTACTCCAGGTACTAATTTGAGGCTGAGTCGACCTAGGGGAGGCCCAGGACCTGTTCAGATAATCGTCACCGATATTGGCCGTGAGCGGGAATTGAGCTCGCGCTATAGCCGGGTTCGTAGCGCAGCGTAGCGGTAAACCACTTCACCACCGCTCCCCTACACACACAGGCGCGTACACAACAACGACTACAACTCAGTGGCTGAGTTTACCATTCCCACACTTTACACTCCTATCGCGTGTGTGTTTATTGTTTGTTGATATAACGTTCTGACCTGCCCCTACTGGATATTAGCGAAAAGAAAAGAGCTTTATAGCTCATCGAATTTCTTCTGCAGTATAAATAAACATTCTGATCAAGTACTCACTACAGGCGCGTGGTATCGCCGTGCCCAGTAATCGAAACAGTAATCGATTCTCACACACAACACTCACACAACACTCACACACACAACACTCACACACTCACAACACTCACACACACAACACTCACACAACACACCCCTCGCCACACACACAACACTCACACACAACACTCACACACAACACTCACACACAACACTCACACACACAACACTCACACAACACTTACACACACAACACACACAACACACCCCTCGCCACACACACACAACACTCACACACACAACACTCACACACAAAACACAAGACAACAACCACCATTCGTCACTAAGTGGTGGTGACGTCACCACGACGCTTGTGCCAGGCCATGTGCACCTTGAGGCCACGTGAAGTGTCGAACGCCCGCTGGCAGGAGGTCACGGGGCAGACCCAGCAGGTGCCACGGGTCGACTGACCGAGATGACTAAGATGACTGGCTGATGCACCACCTGTGCCCCCTACTGTGCCAACCTGCTGTGCTTTAGCCACCCGGCGCTCCGCTCGTTGTTGTGAGCATTGCTGTGGTGTCACCGCAGCGGAGCAGCTCGGCCAGCGCTACCCTCTCCTCGCACCCCCCCCCCACGCACGCCCCACTCAACACCCGCGTGCACCCCCGTAGGGTCTCGAGGAGGGATCACGTGGTGCGATGGGTTTTCACCCGAGGACCCCACTAGCAGGGACGTCCCACGGTTTCCCCGGACCAGGAAATTGGCTGAGCCCCCCAGACCGGATTACATGGCGGCCCCCCCAAAAAGGGGGCGTAGAGCTTTACAGGCCGGCCGCGATGAAGCTTACACAGCACGGAGGGGATGGGAACTTCAGCCAGCACCCAGCGGCAGGGCAAACAGTGGGGTGGGAGGGAAAAGCCTCCAGGCAGATAAGAAGTTGACTTAAGTTGGAGGGAGCGAGGGGATTATCGATGAGTCAACGGCGAGGAACGCAGGCACAGAGACAATGGGAAGGGGGGGGGATGACGTGACCCCCCCGCCCCAACGGCCAGAGCGCTCAAAATGGCTGGAAAAGAGGATTCGATTGGATGCGCAGGATGACGTCATACGACCCGGGGGTTAAGGGGCTTTGGACACATAAGGAGGGGAGGAGGGAGATTTGGATCAGAGTTCTTCTGGAGTGGAGAGAGAACACCAGCCGCCCTCAGCGTCCGTGGGATGCCTGCAGGGTGCAGCTGAAAACGATCGGTTAGCAAAAGTCCCCAAGGCGGGCATCTTCTCCAGCCCCATCGGGCAACTGAAGAGGTGAGTGGGCACGGAAAAGGGAGGCCAATTTAGTCAGCTCGAGCCTGGGGGATAGACGCACTCTGCGACGGGTAGGTGATAGGAGGAAGGGTGCTGGCTGGAGGGGGCCATAAACGGGGGTTCAACTATTCGCTCCGGGAAAGAAATCTAAGCACAGACTGGCGGTGTGACGCGTGGTGCGAGTGAAGAACGGCGGGGCAGCGATCGGCGTACGACGGTGTGGGTGACGATATATCAGTGTGGGTGTGACGCGCGCACACACAAATAAATAATTAAATATTGGGACGCTTGATCGCGCCGTGAGTGTAGCGCAGAGAATAATTGATTCCGAGCGCCGTTGGCTTGTTGACACAAAGGCTTAGCAGAATTAATTAATTAACTGTAAACAGTCGCGGGTGGAGGGGGACAGACGTCGCACCCCACCTAAGGGGAGTGGGGAGGGGGAGATCAGCACCCACGTAGTGGGGAGGGGGACTTTAGCCCTCGCATTCCTCCTCCGCCCTTCGTTGTTCTTGGAGGGCGACTGCCTCCAACTGCCCAGCAGCGTCCTTCACGAGCCTCCTCCACAGAGGCCGATCTTGACACTGCTGGTACCAGTCATCGGCAAGTCCACTCAGCTCCACGTCCTCCTGTACCACATCACTCCATTTCTTCTCTAGCCTGTGCCGCGCCCGTTTAGCCCCCTCGATCCGGCCGAGCAAAAGCTGTTTAGGCATGCGGTGCATATACACACACACGTGGTGCATATATATGTAGTGTTGTAAGGACGAGCAGACTTCTTAGGAGGCACACTCTGTTTATTGTATTAATTCCTTATACAATGCTTAACACACACAAAGGGATATACGGTCTCCTCACCCGATACCCTAGGGAGGTACAGCCTCCCGACTTGGCGGGACTCACACGTCTACCGCTAACCTTGATACCTAAGGAGGTACAGCCTCCGGACTTGGCGGGACTCACACGTCTACCGCTATCCTAGTCCTCCGGCTAGGACCTAGGGGAGGCTATCTGACCCACCGCTGGCCCGGTGGGTCCTGACCACTGGGTATGCCGAGCCTTAGCCCTTAGAAGGGCTGAAAGGCTGGTCCAGGGTCCTAGCTAGGCTTCAGCCCAGTCTTCAGTCTTCGTGTAGGGAGAAAACTCCCTGAGGTCCGTTGGGTCACCCGTCTTATACTCCTTCGTGGCCAGGCAGAACCAATCATACATTCCCACGTGGAACCGTCTGATTGGTTCGTACCAAACCCTGGCCACGATCCGTTTCACCTCGACTGACCCCAACCGTTGTACCCAGGGGTAATGCTGCACTGCCCTGGTGGCAATGCAGGTTACGCAACAGCGCGTAGTTAACACCTCTACAGTACTTATCAAAGACAAAATATATCCCAGACATCCTTAAACAGACTCTTGGGGCAAGTGCTGTGAGCGAGTAGTACTTATCAAAGACAAAATATATCCCAGACATCCTTAAACAGACTGTTGGGGCAAGTACTGTGAGCAAGTAGTACTTATCAAAGACAAAATATATCCCAGACATCCTTAAACAGACTGTTGGGGCAAGTGGTGTGAGCAAGTAGTACTTATCAAAGACAAAATATATCCCAGACATCCTTAAACAGACTGTTGGGGCAAGTGCTGTGAGTGTGTAGTGCTTTACAAAGAAAAAATATATCCCAGACATCCTTAAACAGACTGTTGGGGCAAGTGCTGTGAGCAAGTAGTACTTACCAAAGACAAAATATATCCCAGACATCCTTAAACAGACTGTTGGGGCAAGTGCTGTGAGCGACTAGTACTTATCAAAGACAAAATATACCCCAGACATCCTTAAACAGACTCATCTTCTTTGGTTCTTTCGGTAAAGTCAAGAAAAATGAGAAGAAATAATTAATTAATAAAATAACTATTAAATTCTCACGACGTTTCGGCCACAACACAAGCGGCCTTCATCGAAACGTCGTGGGAATTTTATTGCGTTATTTTATGTTATTAATTTATTATTTTATTCTGATTCTACGTGACTTTACCGAAAGAACCAAAGAAGATGAATCCTTGCAGTCACGAAAGCTTTAAATCGAAACTTAAACAGACTGTTGGAGCAAGTGCTGTGAGCGAGTAGGTCTTATCAAAGACAAAATATATCCCAGACATCCTTAAACAGACTGTTGGAGCAAGTGCTGTGAGCGAGTAGTACTTATCAAGGACAAAATATATCCCAGACATCCTTAAACAGACTGTTGGAGCAAGTGCTGTGAGCGAGTAGGTCTTATCAAAGACAAAATATATCCCAGACATCCTTAAACAGACTGTTGGAGCAAGTGCTGTGAGCGAGTAGTACTTATCAAGGACATAATGTATCCCACACACCCTTAAACAGACTGTTGGAGCAAGTGCTGTGAGCGAGTAGTACTTATCAAAGACAAAATATATCCCAGACATCCTTAAACAGACTGTTGGGGCAAGTGCTGTGAGCGAGTAGTACTTATCAAAGACAAAATATATCCCAGACATCCTTAAACAGACTGTTGGGGCAAGTGCTGTGAGCGTGTAGTACTTATCAAAGACAGAATATATCCCAGACATCCTTAAACAGACTGTTGGGGCAAGTGCTGTGAGCAAGTAGTACTTATCAAAGACAAAATATATCCCAGACATCCTTAAACAGACTGTTGGAGCAAGTGCTGTGAGCGAGTAGTACTTATCAAAGACAAAATATATCCCACACATCCTTAAACAGACTGTTGGAGCAAGTGCTGTGAGCGAGTAGTACTTATCAAAGACAAAATATATCCCACACATCCTTAAACAGACTGTTGGAGCAAGTGCTGTGAGCGAGTAGTACTTATCAAAGACAAAATATATCCCACACATCCTTAAACAGACTGTTGGCGCAAGTGCTGTGAGCAAGTAGTACTTATCAAAGACAAAATATATCCCAGACATCCTTAAACAGACTGTTGGAGCAAGTGCTGTGAGCGAATAGTACTTATCAAAGACAAAATATATCCCACACATCCTTAAACAGACTGTTGGCGCAAGTGCTGTGAGCAAGTAGTACTTATCAAAGACAAAATATATCCCACACATCCTTAAACAGACTGTTGGGGCAAGTCGCTGTGAGCGAGTAGTACTTATCAAAGACAAAATATATCCCAGACATCCTTAAACAGACTGTTGGGGCAAGTGCTGTGAGTGTGTAGTGCTTTACAAAGAAAAAAATATATCCCAGACATCCTTAAACAGACTGTTGGGGCAAGTGCTGTGAGCAAGTAGTACTTATCAAAGACAAAATATATCCCAGACATCCTTAAACAGACTGTTGGGGCAAGTGCTGTGAGCAAGTAGTACTTATCAAAGACAAAATATATCCCAGACATCCTTAAACAGACTGTTGGGACAAGTGCTGTGAGCAAGTAGTACTTATCAAAGACAAAATATATCCCAGACATCCTTAAACAGACTGTTGGGGCAAGTGCTGTGAGCAAGTAGTACTTATCAAAGACAAAATATATCCCAGACATCCTTAAACAGACTGTTGGGGCAAGTGCTGTGAGCGACCTATTTTCCCGCATATAACCCGCGGACGCATACACCCCGCAAAATTAGCGTTTTGTGTAAAACAAATTTCAGATAGCCCGCACCTCCATATACCCCGCATGCATTAATATCTTTAACGACGTTACCGCAGCTTAATTCCAACATATTAATACAAAGTTTACATTTGTAATACATTCCACTATCAATTGTTAACATTAAAATCATAACGTGCACAAAGACAACAAACTAACCGGAAACGAGAGAACATAAAACAGTAAATATGTAACAAAATTAAATATCCAATAAATAAGTAACACATACCTGGTAAAAAATTTTATTTAAAGCTGTCGTGACTGCAGGGATTTATATTCTTGGTTCTTTCGGTAAAGTCACCACGTAGAAGGGAAACAATAAAATAATAAAAATATAAAACAATACAATTCTCACGACGTTTCGACTGCAACACAAGCAATCATCATCAGGTGTGAAAACCACAGCAAGAACATTTAGTAAAGTCTTACCAAATTTTGTAAAGTCTTACCGAATTTCCTTGCTGTGGTTTTCACACCTGCAGTCGAAACGTCGTGAGTATTTTGTTTTATATTTTTATTGTTTTATTGTTTCCCTTCTACGTGGTGACTTTACCGAAGGAATCAAGAACACACCACTGGTAGATGAGTAAGTACAGTTTTAGCACTGGTAGATTGCGCACTGTGCAGACAATAGCGACACTACGTCATTGTCTCTCCCCCACCTCTCTCTCTCCCCAGCTCTCCCATCGCCGGTAAACAAAGTGCGCCCACTTTAAACATTGTCTTTTCATTCTACAAACAACTCGAAGCATTTGAAACGTGATAACACGTGCAATTTTAGTGTGAGTGGTTTATTCAGCAGTGCTTTAGTCAAAGGTGAGTGTTGCACAGTGGATAGTCCTACCATGAAATAATTAAACGGGTAGCGACAAACTCTTTGCTTCTTTCGGTAAAGTCACGTAGGTCTCAAATAACTCACGACGTTTCGGGCGCAACACCAGCGTGGTGCCCCACAAACCCCCGGACATCATCCACCCCCCCACTCCCCACCCAGCATCGCCACCAACCACCAAAGCCACGCCTCGCCCTGCCCGCCCACCCAGCCACACGCAGCCAAAGACCACGCGATCCGTGACTCGTCGGCGCTTTAAACAAAAGGGCGTCGCCTCGGCACACGCCTCCACAGCCACCGCATCCACCCCTTCTCGCTGTCTCTCCCCCCTCTCGCACACACCGCACACTCGAGGGCATCTTCATCGTCATCATCGTCATCGCCGCTGCTGCTGCTGCTGCCGCCCGTGCACACAGAGCAGCAGCAGCAGCAGCCCTCGCGAGAGGAGGAGGAGGGCAAAAACACGCGAGGTGAGCGCGGTTCCGTGAGTGTGTGTGACTGGTCCGTGTGTGTGTGTGACTGGTCCGTGTGTGTGTGTGTGACTGGTCCGTGTGTGTGTGTGTGACTGGTCCGTGTGTGTGTGACTGGTGTGTGTGTGTGTGTGACTGGTGTGTGTGTGTGACTGGTGTGTGTGTGTCTGGTGTGTGTGTGTGTGACTGGTCCGTGTGTGTGTGTGTCTGGTGTGTGTGTGAGTGTGTGACTGGTGTGTGTGTGTCTGGTGTGTGTGTGTGAGTGTGTGACTGGTGTGTGTATGTGAGTGTGTGACTGGTGTGTGTGTGTGTCTGGTGTGTGTGTGTGTGACTGGTCCGTGTGTGTGTGTGTGACTGGTCCGTGTGTGTGTGTGTGTGACTGGTCCGTGTGTGTGTGTGTGTCTGGTGTGTGTGTGTGTGACTGGTCCGTGTGTGTGTGACTGGTCCGTGTGTGACTGGTGTGTGTGTATGTGACTGGTCCGTGTGTGTGTGACTGGTCCGTGTGTGACTGGTGTGTGTGTGTGACTGGTCCGTGTGTGTGTGTGTGACTGGTCCGTGTGTGTGACTGGTCCGTGTGTGTGTGTGTGACTGGTCCGTGTGTGTGTGTGACTGGTCCGTGTGTGTGCGAGTGTGTGTGTCTGGTCCGTGTGTGTGTGTGTGCCTGGTCCGTGTGTGTGACTGGTCCGTGTGTGTGTGACTGGTCCGTGTGTGTGTGTGACTGGTCCGTGTGTGTGTGACTGGTCCGTGTGTGTGTGACTGGTCCGTGTGTGTATGTGACTGGTCCGTGTGTGTGTGTGACTGGTCCGTGTGTGTGTGTGACTGGTCCGTGTGTGTGTGTGACTGGTCCGTGTGTGTGTGTGACTGGTCCGTGTGTGTGTGTGTCTGGTCCGTGTGTGTGGGAGTGTGTGTGTGTGACTGGTCCGTGTGTGTGCGAGTGTGTGTGTGTGACTGGTCCGTGTGTGTGCGAGTGTGTGTGTCTGGTCCGTGTGTGTGCGAGTGTGTGTCTGGTCCGTGTGTGTGCGAGTGTGTGTTCCTGGTCCGTGTGTGTGCGAGTGTGTGTGACTGGTGTGTGTGCGAGTGTGTGTGACTGGTCCGTGTGTGTGTGTGTGTGACTGGTCCGTGTGTGTGTGTGTGTGAATGGTCCGTGTGTGTGTGTGTGTGAATGGTCCGTGTGTGTGTGTGTGACTGGTCCGTGTGTGTGTGTGTGTGACTGGTCCGTGTGTGTGCGAGTGTGTGTGTGTGACTGGTCCGTGTGTGTGCGAGTGTGTGTGTGTGACTGGTCCGTGTGTGTGCGAGTGTGTGTGTGTGACTGGTCCGTGTGTGTGCGAGTGTGTGTGTGTGCCTGGTCCGTGTGTGTGCGAGTGTGTGCCTGGTCCGTGTGTGTGACTGGTCCGTGTGTGTGTGTGACTGGTACGTGTGTGTGCGAGTGTGTGTGTCTGGTCCGTGTGTGTGCGAGTGTGTTTGTGTGTGCGCGAGTGTGTGTGTGCGCGAGTGTGTGTGTGCTCGCTAACAGCACTTGCCCCCTACAGTCTGTTACAGGCTATATGGGGGATCTTTGTCTTTGTGTGTGCGAGTGTGTGTGTGACTGGTCCGTGTGTGTGACTGGTCCGTGTGTGTGTGTGTGACTGGTCCGTGTGTGTGTGTGTGACTGGTCCGTCTGTGTGTGTGTGTGACTGGTCCGTGTGTGTGTGTCTGGTCCGTGTGTGTGCGAGTGTGTGTGTGTGCGCGAGTGGTAGTGTAGCGGTTAGCGCTACGCTGCGCTATGAACCTGGCGACCCGGGTTCGATTCCCGCTCACGGCCAACACCAGTGACGATTATCTGAACCGGTCCCGGGCCTCCCCTAGGTCGACTCAGCCTCAAATGAGTACCCGTTGCGGTGTGTAAACATTGCCACTGGGGAGACAAAGGCGGTCGGGCGTGGTGCTGGCCACCCACCCCCTCGTGTACCGTTCCGGCCTTCATAGGTGCTCGCTAACAGCACTTGCCCCTACAGTCTGTTAAGGCTATACGGGGGATATTTTATCTTTTGTGTGCTCGCTAACAGCACTTGCCCCCTACAGTCTGTTACAGGCTATATAGGGGATCTTTGTCTTTGTGTGTGCGAGTGTGTGTGTGTGACTGGTCCGTGTGTGTGTGAGAGACTGGTCCGTGTGTGTGACTGGTCCGTGTGTGTGCGAGTGTGTGTGTGTGCACGCGAGTGTGTGTGTGTGACTGGTCCGTGTGTGTGTGTGAGTGTGACTGGTCCGTGTGTGTGCGAGTGTGTGTGTGTGCGGTTTCAGGAAAGGGCGGTCTTGCACAGATGCCATATTTTCTCTCCGTCTGCTACAGCAGAGGTGCAGGGAATTCCAAGAAGACCTACATCTCTGCTTTATTGACCTGGTCAAGGCCTATGATACTGGAGAGGTGTTAACTACTCACTGTTCAGTAACCTGCATTGCCACTAGGGATCAAAGGGCAATGCAGCGTTACCTCTGTGTACATAACGGTTGGGGTCAGACGAGGTGAAGTGGATCGTAGCCACAGTTTGGTAAGAACCAATCAGACAGTTCACGTGGGAATGTGGGATTGGTTACACCTGGCCACGAACAGGTATAAGAAGGGTGACCGTGCTGAGCGCGGGGAGTTCTCTCCCTACACGAAGACCGAAGCCCGGGCTGAAGATAGCTAGGACCCTGGACCCAGCCTTCCAGCCCTTCTGAGGGCTAAGGCTCGGCGTACCCAGTGGTCAGGACCCGCCGGGCCAGCGGTAGGTCAGATAGCCTCCCCTAGGTCCCAGCCGGAGGACTCTAGGATAGCGGTGGACGTGTGAGTAAGTCCCGCCAAGACAGCAGGCTGTACCTCCTTAGGTTAGGATGAGACCTGTGTGTAGGTCACGCTAAGTCCGGAGGCTGTACCTTCTTAGGGTATCGGGTGAGGGGACCGTATACCCCTCTGTGTGTTAAGGACTGTGTAAGAGAAGTATTACAATAAACAGTGTGTGCCTCATAAGAAGTTTATTCGTCATTATAAACACTACAATACCATCAGTAGGCCTGGGCTCTGGGTTGTTCTTCGTGCTTTCAGAGTCCCTGACCTTCTGGTCATGATCATTAAGGACCTTCATGATGGTGAGCGGGCCCGGGTAAAACTACGTGGCCGGGAGTCGGAGCCATTCGCTGTACACCTTGGGTGCGACAGGGATGTCCTCTGGCTCCCACATTATTTAACATCAATTTCGACCACGTAGTTCCTGAAGCCTTCAATAGCTGTACCGGAGGAATTTCCATCTGGTACAGATACAATGGGAGGCTGAGTCATGCCCGGGTGTGGTCAAGGGATGGCTCCCTATTGCTTAACCATGTTATGTATGCCGATGATATGGTAATTGCTGCTAACTCGGAGGAGGAGTTGGAGGCACTGCTGCTGAACTTGGAGCTTGCCACTAAGAAGTCGGGCCTTACCATCAGCCCCACCAAAACTAAGCACCTGCCTGGGAATTTTGTACCATCGGATACTCCACCCCCACAACTCCCAATTGGTGATAGGGCAGTTGTGGAGAGTTTCCCATACCTGGGCAGTGTGCTCATGACCGGCTCCGGTTTAACAGCAGAGGTCTCACTCCGAATCAGTCGAGCGGCATTATCTTTTCATCGGTTGCGTAACGCTGTGTGGAAGCTACCTGGTCTGTCGCTTTGCACGAAGCTTCAGGTCTTCTCGACCACGGGCATTCCCTCCCCTCTCTACGCTTGCGAAATGTGGACCCCCCTAATGGAGCATCTTCGCCCGTTATAAACATTTAGGCTGGCCTGCCTACGATCCATCCTGGGTTTAACCAGGCTGGATTGTGTGAGCTCACAAATCCTTTAAAGATCTGGACAAAGTTCCACCGGTGAGCTCCAGCAGGCAAGGCTGCGTTGGCTGGGTCATGTAGCCCGCATGCCCAGCCACCGCATGCCTAAACAGCTTTTGTTCGGCCGGATCAAGGGGCCGAAACGGGCGCGGCACGGGCTAGAGAAGAGATGGAGTGATGTGGTACAGGAGGACATGGAGCTGAGTGGACTTGCCGATGACTGGTACCAGCGGTGTCAAGATCGGCCTCTGTGGAGGAGGCTCGTGAAGGACGCTACTGGGCAGGTGCAGGCAGTCGCCCTCCAACAACAACGGAGGGCGGAGAAGCGACGCTCACAACAACTAGCGGAGCGCCAGGTGGCTAAAGCACAGAAAGTTGGCACAGTAGGGGGCACAAGTGGTGCATCAGCCAGTCGTCTCAGTCGACCTGTGGAATATGGGTTTGCCCCGTGACCTCCTGCCAGCGGGCGTTCGACACTTCACGTGGCCTCAAAGTGCACATAGCCTGGTACAAGCGTCGTGGTGACGTCACCGCCACTTAGTGGCGAATGGCGGTGGTTGTTGTGTGTGTGTGTGCACACACCTTCACCACACACACAACATTTACACATTACTCCACACACGCACAGCACTCACACACAACACTCACACAACACACACAACACTCACACACACACAACACTCACACAACACTCACACAACACAACACACACACAACACTCACACACATCGCCACTGGGGAGACAAAGGTGGCTGGGCGTGGTGTTGGCCACCCACCCCCTCGTGTGCCGTGCCGGCCTTCATCGGTGCAACTCGCTAACAGCACTTGCCCCTACAGTCTGTTAAGGCTACCCGGGGGATCTTTGTCTCGGCTAGGGGGTGAGAGACGTGGAGAGAGAGAGAGGGGGCTGTGTGACTGAGTAGAGAGTGTGAGAGTGATTTCAAATATATGGCTGTAAGGAGGTTATATTGTATGCTATCACGGGAGATCTTGTGCTGTGGTTCTTCATGTGCGCCAAGTGTTTACATTTGATGTTTTATTGCTTAATTTTAAACCTATAAAGTAATTTGTATTTCTCACGTGAAAAAAAGTCGTTCAAGAGTGGAGCATATTGGAGGCAGAAACGTAAGTGGACTTTATCTTGGCAGTGAGTGGACGGGGATAGACGAGGGTCATGTGACTGCGTGTGGCCTCTTTACCGGAACGTCTGGCCCCGTCTACGAGAGACGACGACGCCCTGCGAGACCACGTGCTCCCCGACCTGTGAGACCACGTGATCCCCGACCTGTGAGACCACGTGATCCCGCCGTGTGAGACCACGTGATCCCCGACCTGTGAGACCACGTGATCCCGCCCTGTGAGACCACGTGATCCCACCCTGTGAGACCACGTGATCCCCGACCTGTGAGACCACGTGATCCCCGCCCTGTGAGACCACGTGATCCCCACCCTGTGAGACCACGTGATCCCTGACTCATCGGCGCTTCAAACAAAAGGGGGTCGTCTCCTCCGCCGAACGGAGGTGAATGGAACGGCCGCGTGAGCCCTTTGTGAATCGTTCTCTTTGTTACCACCAGGAGGACATTGAGCGCAAGTTCCCCTGGATAGTCGCCGTGCTGCTGATTGCCGTCACACGTAAGTTTACGCACGATTCGTTCACACCCTACGGTCCTCTTTTTGTATGCGGTGCAATTGTGAACGACATCCATATCAGACAGTACATCATCAAACCGGCATAATCATTGGTTCACTCATGCAGCTGAAAGACTCGGTCCGTACAAGGCGTGTGGTGAAGTTAGGAGATGTACCACGTGCTCGCCATTTGAAGGCCCCGAGACACAAGCCGGTGATTTCGCCAACAATGCCTTCATCAGGGAGGCAGTTCCATATCGGGGCAGCAGTGAAGAAGATGAAAGGAGTTTCTGTCCAGGGAGCTTCTGTCCAGGGAGCTTCTGTCCAGGGAGCTTCTGTCCAGGGAGCTTCTGTCCAGGGAGCTACTGTCCAGGGAGCTTCTGTCCAGGGAGCTTCTGTCCAGGGAGCTTCTGTCCAGGGAGCTTCTGTCCAGGGAGCTACTGTCCAGGGAGCTTCTGTCTAGAGAGCTTCTGTCTAGGGAGCTTCTGTCTAGAGAGCTTCTGTCCAGGGAGCTTCTGTCCAGGGAGCTTCTGTCCAGGGAGCTTCTGTCCAGGGAGCTACTGTCCAGGGAGCTTCTGTCCAGGGAGCAATGGTCTGGCAACTTGGGGGGCAAGGGCGTAGCTTGGCAGGGGTTGTGCATAATCGGGTGGCACGGTGTCTTTCATAGGATGGTGGAAGCATGGCCTGAAGGTCTGGTGGGTGGGCAGTGGTTTGGGGTGCATTTTGTACCAGGGACTGTGACAGCGGCCTTTAATTGACAGCCTTGAGGACATTTATTGTCTCCTTTACGATGAAGTCAAACCGAACCCGGGAACCCTCGCCCTGACTTTGTCTCCCTCAATGTGACCGTGATCTTCGCGCGTAGAACTGGGGATGGACGGTCAAAGTTTTGCCAAAATCCATCTCGTACGGTGACATGGGTGGAAAAATGACCGGAGGTTTGTCCGGGGGGGATCTATGGCTCGATAAGATCGTCGAAGATTTTCTGGAGCTGGGACTTCACGATCCTCGAAGCGGGAAAGACTGGAAAATGATCTGTAACTCAGAATCACTCACAGACGCAGGGAGGTTATATTCAGTGTGGTTGTAAGTTAGCGAAACTATTTAAATGTGTTATACCAAACAATCTTTTATTTTACCAGGTAAGGCTCCACTTATTTATGTCGCTCTCAGAAGCTACCTGGCTATCACAAATGATAGCTCAACGAAGTGGTTTATCATCACGTTGGGAATGTGAAGCAGCCAGATACTTTAAACGCGTTTTCATTGTGAATGTGGAGGGAAAAACCGGAGGTCCTGGAGAAAAAAACACGCGACCACGAGGAGAGAGCACACACATACTCCAAATATACAGCAGGTGTCAAGGTTAGGATCGAGCTCACGACCTCCTGCATACCAGGCGAGGTATTAAACATCTCCTAGTCACCGTGAGTGGGCTGCCAGGACCAGTTGGTGTCACCGAAGCATCAAGTCAAGTGCTTAAGCAAACCTCCATTCACTTTTCACACTTAACCTTGACCGCTCGTGCAAATTCGAACCTAAACAAAGATAAAGATCAAACGTGTAGCCTTTACCAGACGGTTAGGGCAAGTGCTGTTAGCCAGTAGCAGCGCGTAATGAAGGCCGGAATGGCACACGATGGGATGGGTGGCCAGCACCACGCCCGGCCGCCTTTGTCCCTCCAATGGAAATGTTTACACACAGCAGCAGATATTTATTTGGGGCTGAGCCGACCTACGTGAGGCCCAGGACCGGTTCAGATAATCGATACTGGTGTTGGCCGTGAGGGGGAATCGAACTTGGGTCGCCGGGTTCGTAGCGCAGCGCGCTAACCGCTACACCACCGCTCCCCTTAGCATAAGCACTATCGCTGGCACTAATTCGGACCTCAATCCTGGCACCAACCCAGAGTTCAACTATAACCCTGACCCGATCTCTGCAATCAATGTGACCAGTCTCTCTCTCTCTGCATGTCCGTAACAAATGTGACTTGTCTCTCTTTGCGTAGATCTGTTGTCTGCTGCGAATGTCTCGATCGCTGTGCCGGAGGATCTGGTCGGGGCAGTGCTTGTGAGATGCTCCTTCTCTCCACTGCTGGACATCAAGGGTGGTATCAACCTCAAAGTCACCAAATCCTCAAGCAACAAACCGATTGTGGAAACTTCTGCAGGCACTTATCAAAGTGCACTTTTTGCTAATCAGTGACATTTCCAGGTTTTTAACAATCCCACGCAGTCCGCTTCTCCCTGCGATGTCATCCCTTCTCAGTTTGCACTCTTGAGCCGCTGCCTCCACGACTGTGGTCTTCTGAAGTCTCTCGTTATTTAGACTATCTGGCTGCTGCTGTACATTTGCACGTGATGATAAGCCACTTTGTTGAGCTACCGTTTATGATAGCCAGGTGGCTTCTGAAAGAAGAGAGCTACATTGCTCTGTGGGCCTTACCCGGTAATTCAGTTTCAATTAGTCTGTGTGATGTCATCAACATGTCCACACTTTCAATTAGTCTGTGTGATGTCATCAACATGTCCCCACTTTCAATTAGTCTGTGTGATGTCATCAATATGTCCACACTTTCAATTAGTCTGTGTGATGTCATCAACATTTCCACACAGGTGTGCAGCACGGCCCACTCTTCACGTGACTGCTTCATTGCTTTACCAGCGACGGATGGAGGAGGGTGTGCAACGCACATTAGCGGATCGCTAGCGCGATCCTCATCAAAAGCCCCGTGCCAAATTTCATACGCGCAATTTTTTTTTGCTAGGGATCGTGAATCTTGGGTGGTTGACGAAGGAACGTTGGGGTGACCGCCGGTGGTTCCTCTCCTTGCAGATCTACAACTCGTACGGTGAGGATTCTCGACCTGACGTGGCCACATTCGTGGGAGACCTGGCCAAGGGCGACTGCTCCCTCTTGCTGCCCAACGACTCCAGGGGCTCTGTGATCGATTTTAGTTTTCAATTCTACAACGCGAGTCGACTGAACGCGACGCTGAGTGTGGTTGAAGGTGAGTGAGAGTGGAAGCGGGGGAGTGTGCCCACGTCACCGCATTTTCTAAACGCACTTTACAATTGTCCAGGCCGTGTTTGTGCAAATATTAGAGAGGTCTTGGCTTTGGTTGTGTTTGGTCACGTGATTTGAAAAGTGAGCTCGTCCTGTTCCCCTTCATGCATCTCTTCTGTGTGACCTGCATCGTGAATTTATCCAATGCACGTGAAGCTGCGTTGAGTCGCTGGGTGGGGGCGGTGGTGCTGGGTCCGAGTGGGGGTCACGTTGAGCCCCCCACTCTGTCTAGGTTCTTGACACCGCCGTCCGTGTCTCAGCAGCTCCACAGACGCACAGCGGTGCAGGTGGCACGACTGTCGCTGCGGCAGCGGAGACCTCGCCCACAGCAGGTCCCCACTTCAGGGGCTGGACGGGGATTGGGGCGGCAGTGGTGGTGGCAGTGGTGGTGGTGGTGGTGGCTGTTGTCATCTTCATCCAGAAACGCCGTCGGTCGTCTGGGAGCTCCCCCGGCTCACACAGGTATGTACAGTACGTGTGTGTGTGTTGAACTACTTTCACACCCTACGTAGCCAACCGTAGCTAACCGAAGGGGTGGGGGGAAGGACAATAAACTGATCACCCAAAGTAGTTCTAAAGAAATTAGTTTTTAACCTCTAGCCCAGGCACCAGGATCCCCCAGCCCAGCTCCTCAATAATGAACGAGAACGCAGGAAGCTGGGCTGGGTTCTCAGCGGTGCTGAGTCGGCACCACTGGGGCCAATTCCTCGTGAACTGTGTCCAGATGTTGCTGTGTGCAGGCACCGTGCGGTTTGTAAACTCGTGTTCTTGTTCCTCAGTGGCGATGGGCAAGCAGACGTGCACGGTGATGTGGAGGAGAATGGGCATCCACTGATGGTGGCGATAACGAATGGACCCACAGAGGCAAATGGAGATGGTGGGACAATCGCCGCTTGAAGTGATCACCGGCTCCCCCATGACCACCCTGGCCGGCACCCGTGACCGCCGATAGCCACAGTGCCATGCAGGAGTGCAGTACGGAGTGCCTGTGGTCCATGGGTTGTTGTCCCAGATCTTCATGGCTTTGTCATCTTTTCCTGCGCAACGTTAACTCTCCAAACTCCTCTCTGGCAGCTCCAAATCCCTGAACGCGGAATTCCACACGATCCAGAATACCGCTGCTGCCTCATCTCACGACTTCTATAAATGCAACCTTCATCATCCCAATCTTCAGATTCCCCCCACTGGCTCCCAATCCCGTCCCCAATCGACTCTGCGAGATCGCACTCTCCGCCTCCACGATCCTCCATAGACTCTACGCTTCCTCTCCCCTCTCACCTCTATGTGCTCCCCACCACGTGTTCTCTCAATGTCTGGTCGCTTATTAACGCCCACCGCGTAGCCCAGTGGGTTCTGGGGAGTCTCACAAATCTGTGATTCGTGAACCCTCAACTCCATAGCGCCCGATCAGTCTCACCGCAGATTCCCCCTGCTCACGTCCAGGCTCCAGACGTTACAGACTTTCCCTCTGTGTCTCTCCTCGCCTGGGCTGCACCACCGCTGTCTTCCCGTGAGCTCCATGCACATTCCCTACAGCCCCTTCCTGCTCTACTGAATGTGTCAGCATTGTGTGTCTGTGTGTGAACCTGAGTGGGTGTGTGAGTTGTGTGCGTTTGCTTGTGTATGAGTGTGAGCCAGAGGGGGGTGTGGTATTGGAGTGTGGTTGTGGTGTAATAAGAGTCGTGTGTGTGTGTGGTGTTAAGGGACCAGAATCTGTGTGAATTGCCCACACAATGCACGAGATTGACAACTCAAGAGGTTCTCACACTGGACTATTTGGCACACTCTTTATTGAATGTCTTTTACGTGCACTATGCGCTGCTATTCCAGAGGTGCCTTGAGATTGCATGTTAACTACTGTTTATGTTTACCGTTGTGGAGTATTGGTCAAGGGGAGTGGTTGAACCTGTGGGCTATGGGCCATAGCCCATGGCAATCCACAAGGCCGTGGGAATTGCTCTGCAGAACGATTTAAGGACCCCACAATGTTACTCACAAAGCCATCTTTCTTACTGCAAGTTCTTCGTCAAGTTTGTTTAGAGGGTTGGCAGTGAACGTTTCAAGTTTTCAAGTTTCATTTATTTAGGTATAGCCATGTGAGCCATGCGGCTCTTAAGTCGGGTGCAACCGCAACAAACAAAATTTGAACACAACATCCCAAAGCGACGATGCGCAACAGAAACATCCTGGAATAAACCAACAAATATTCCACACAAAAAAAGTATTAAAACGCTGTGTGCAAAAATCACAATGTGGTGCAAGCCAACAACAACTATAAGACAATTTAGATTAACCATATGTTTTTGAATCACCAAAATAAAGCTATAAAACAATGCAACAACAGTAATCATAGGAACTGTAATTTTAAATTGAACAATAAACGATATACATAACACTTAGGACAAAAACCTGCAGCCATAGCTGGCAGCACGGCACTCCCAGTGTATGATGTGTGAGTGAGTCAGCAGCAGCGTGAGTGAGTGTATGATGTGCGAGTCACTGTATGATGATTGAGTCCGTATTAGGTTGAGTGTATGATGTGTGAGTCAGCGTACGATGTGTTAGCACATGATGAGCGAGTCAGTGCATGATGTGTGAGTGAGTCAGCGGCAGTGTGATTGAGTGTATGATGTGCGAGTGAGCCAGCACACGATGAGTGAACCTGTGTATGATGAGTGAATGGGTCAGTGGTTGTGCGAGTGTATGATGTGTGAGTAAACGCATGATGAGCGAGTCAGTGCATGATGTGTGAGTGAGTCAGTGCATGATGTGTGAGCGAGTCAGTGCATGATGTGTGAGCGAGTCAGTGCATGATGTGTGAGCGAGTCAGTGCATGATGTGTGAGCGAGTCAGTGCATGATGTGTGAGCGAGTCAGTGCATGATGTGTGAGCGAGTCAGTGCATGATGTGTGAGCGAGTCAGTGCATGATGTGTGAGCGAGTCAGTGCATGATGTGTGAGCGAGTCAGTGCATGATGTGTGAGCGAGTCAGTGCATGATGTGTGAGCGAGTCAGTGCATGATGTGTGAGCGAGTCAGTGCATGATGTGTGAGCGAGTCAGTGCATGATGTGTGAGCGAGTCAGTGCATGATGTGTGAGCGAGTCAGTGCATGATGTGTGAGCGAGTCAGTGCATGATGTGTGAGCGAGTCAGTGCATGATGTGTGAGCGAGTCAGTGCATGATGTGTGAGCGAGTCAGTGCATGATGTGTGAGCGAGTCAGTGCATGATGTGTGAGCGAGTCAGTGCATGATGTGTGAGCGAGTCAGTGCATGATGTGTGAGCGAGTCAGTGCATGATGTGTGAGCGAGTCAGTGCATGATGTGTGAGCGAGTCAGTGCATGATGTATGAGAAAGTCAGTGTCGGCTCCCTCTGCTCGCGCGGCGCCCCCCCCCCCTCCGGCTCCGTCGCCCCCCTCCCCCGGCTCCGTCGCCCCCCCCCGGCTCCGTCGCACCCCCCCCCGGCTCCGTCGCCCCCCCCCCCCCGGCTCCGTCGCACCCCCCCCCGCCCCCATCGGCCCCCCCCCGGCCCCCCCGGCCCCCTCGGCTCCTTCTGTCGGCTCCCTCGGCCCCCTCACAAACGGCCCCCGCCAGCCGCTGCTCGGAGCGCGGCCCGGGGAACGCCCCGGGAGCGCACGCGCGCCTCAGGCGGCCATCTTGGATTCGTCTTCTTGGTCTTTGTCGAGCACGCAGAACGAGTCGAGGAAGGGGAAGTTGGCCGCGACTTTCCTCGAAGTCCTGCTGCGAGATGTAGCCATCACGGTCGTGGTCGTAGTTCTTGAAGACGGACTCCACGACGCGCTGCTGCACGTGCTTGTTGATGGCGGCCGCGTCGGGCTTGGGCGACACGCCGGAGGCCCAACTTGGCCATCACCACCGGCTTGGAGGGCGTCAGCGGTGTTGATTTTGGATTCCGCGGTTCCCTCATCAACGTGGGTCCAGGAAGGTTGGAAACCACTGGTCTAGAAGTGCCATATTTTCAGTGAGAGTAAGACATTGGTTTAGAAGCCTCATGCATTATATCATTAGTGTTGGGAAAATGTTGCCTTTAAGGGACAGATTTTAACGTATTTACGGTTGGAAAAATTGTTTCATGAAATCTGTGTATTGCAAACATTGGCTGTTTTTTAAAGCATGTAAACCTATGGTATACATTTTTGCTATGAGAAAACATTTGTGTAAAACCACTCGTATTTTCTATTTTTATAGAAATGAACCTTGTGTCAAAATCGTCATTAATCAATTAATTTTTGGCGACTCCGTCCCACCGCGCACACAAACGCCGCGACCCGCCTGGCGTGGATCGTTCTGTGGTCGTGTCCAAGTGCAGAGGACGAATGCGCACAAGAGCTGAACAAGCGAATGCATTCCATGCTTGGGTATGGGCAGGACCATAACAAGTCGTATCCAAAGCTGCTCAAACTGCCTACACGACTGAAGTTTTATATATATTTTATTATTGTATTGTTTCCCTTCTACGTGGTGACTTTACCGAAAGAACCAAGAATATGAATCACTGCAGTCACGAAAGCTTTGAATCAAAATTTTACGACTGAAGTCCTTTAATTTGTCATCACGGTTTGCATGATACAGTGAAACTGCTCTCTAATCTTCATTATTATTTGTGACCTACCAATGTCTGCAGCCAGGATCAATCGACAATCATAATACCTGCAGATATTTAACAGATGAGATGCGTTGCACCGTTAATTCCTCCTGTTTCATAATACTTCTCTTGTCCGTATGGATCTGTGTGGTTTTTTTTGCGGTTAAGCCATAGTCCCCACATACCGCTCGGATCAATGCGGATAAGAGGAGGGGCGACACGCTACACTGTAGAGTAACATCGGTATAAACGCTTGTTACAATGTGAAAACGCGTACTATGTTATGTACTGTTTACAAAGTGTGTTCACAAATTCACACTGTGAAACACGATGATTGACAGAGGGGTATAAATTATTGTTTCGATAGTTTATTTAAATAGAGGTACTGCAGGTTACGAGTTTTCAGGTGAAGAAGAGCTAAGTATTTATTTACGTAATATAATATTAACATGTTTACATTATAATAAAATATTAACATAATATAATGTTTATGAAAGACCCCGGGGTCCCGCCATGAGGTTCAAATGCTGGTCGCCAAAAACTCATAAGGCAATAAAAATATAATACATGTTTCAGCCATACCGAGTGTTGTCTATGAATGATCTTATCACAAAACGTCTGCAGCTGGCAAGTGCACACTCGCTAGGGGTTCGTTTTGCACGGCACTAAACGTGAACGTTCATCTCTAGGGCAGGGCCCTGGCTCAAGCTCCCTCCACCCCTCTCCATTCCCCTCCATTCCCCTCCATCTCACTCCACCCCTCTCCATCTCCCTCCACCCCTCTCCATTCCCCTCCAGACCTCTCCATCAGGCAATTTGCCACAAGTGGTTGTAATCAGAAGCGAAGCGTCGTGCTCTAATTGTAAATGTTGTGGGCTTACTCTCCATCACACCGATGTGCTGAAGTAGTCGCTGATTGGCACGTTTCTTGTTCACGTGACAAACCTTACATATTGGCCGTGTGGTGGCGAGTTCACGACACGTTCATGTTCACGCGATCCAACCCTAACCGCCTGCGTTATGAATCACTGAAACTCATCACGCAACTGCACTGCCCCCTGGCGGTCAAACTACGCCACTGCACAAATCCACATCGACCAAAAACCCAGCGGATTCTTCTCTTTCACGTTCGTCTGTCCCCTCCACATCAAAAATACAAAAATAAAATGCGGCCACAAAAATCTTCCTGTGAGTGCACAATTTCAGCAGCACCCTTGGTGGTTCCAAAGCCAGGAAAAAAATCATTCTGGACCGGTTTCGACATTCAGTGTCTCATCAGCAGTCAGGATCGCTTGAGAATATAAAACACGGCGCTCGATGTGACAAAGATAAACGATGAAGGTGCAGCCCCTGCAACGGCTCGCTCACTGCCACTGCAGGCGGAAGGACCTCCAGTAGAGGGCGCTCTGCACAGCCCCTCTAGCCAGGGGCAGAGGGCTTGGCGATCCGTGGTGGCTAGGAGATGTTAAACAAAGGGGTGCGAGGCTGCAATCAAGAAGCACTGGGCGAGGTCGCGACCGCGTGCGCGCAGTGTCCATGCGTTGTGAGCGCGGTCCATGAGATGTTTGTTGACAGTTTCGAAAATGACGAAAAATAATCATCGGTGTTTACCCTTTCTGGGAATAAACAAGAGCTGTGTTAAGATGTTCAAACACCAAGCAGGTTATACCTTTAGCACGGCACGAGTTCGATTCGCGCTCACGGCCAACACCGGTGACGATCATCTGAACCGGTCGTGGGCCTCAACTGAGTAGTTGGTGTAGCGGTGTGTAGTGAACATCGCCACTGGGGAGACAAAGGCGGTCGGGCGTGGTGTTAGCCACCCACCCCCTCGTGTGCCGTTCCGGCCGTCATAGGTGCTGCTACTCGCTAACCGCACTTGACCCAACAGTCTGTTGAGCCTATAGGGGGTTCTTTGTGTAAGTGGCAGTGTGGCTCGCTCACTCCACTCACACACGAGATGACCGCTAGATGCACCAGCGAAACCGCCTACTGTGCCGACTTCCTGCGTTTTAGCCACCCAGCGCTCAGCTCGTTGTTGTGAGCGTCGCTCCTCTGCCCTCCGTTGTTGCTGGAGAGCGACTGCCTCCAACTTCCCAGTAGCAGCAGCAGCGGCGTCCTTCACGAGCCTCCTCCACAGAGGCCGATCTTGACACCGCTGGTACCGGTCATCAGCAAGTCCACTCAGCTCCACGTCCTCTTGCACCACATCACTCCATCTCTTCTCTAGCCCGTGTCGCACCCGTTTAGCCCCCTCTACCCTTATGTAGTGGTTCAGAAACCAGGGGAGACACCAGTTGAGGCAACACGATATTTATTACTCTTTCTACAGGGTCCCAAACACAAAGGGGTAGCGGACCCTTTATCCGATGCCAGGCGAGGTACGGCCTCCGGCCTACACTGCCCTAACACACAGGACCCCGATAATTCCCCGACCTCCGGCTGGGGCTCTAGGGGAGGCAACGCTGACCCCGACCGTGTCCGGGTCGTCGGGTCCTGACCACTGATATTGAGCTCCGGCCCTTAGAAGGACGGCGGAGCTTGGGGTGCAGGGTCCTAGCTTCAGCCCGGGTCTTCGGTCTTCAGAGTGGAGGAGACTGCCCTCTATTGTTCAGAGGTCCGGCTTATATACCGGCTCGGGGCTTGCTCCGCCCTTCCAGAACCTTCCACCAGGTCCTGGAAGGGTGACGTCATCCCCCAATCCCCCCCTACCCGGCGTTCGTGGATTGTGCCCAGGATCCGTTATCCCGGCGATCACCGTTGCCCCCCTTTGGCCATAGCCCCTTGACATTGGGGTAGCCCCTCTTCCGCCCCCTGTTGACCCAATAGTAATACTACCCGCTGACAACATGGGGAATGCGGAATAAGACCTCTACACTTACAAACAAAAGCTGTGTAGGCATGCGGTGGCTGTGCATGCGGGCTACAAGACCCAGCCAACGCAGCTTTGCCTGCTGGAGGAGCTCGCCGATGGGACTTTGTCCAGATCACGCTCTTTTATCACACAAACACTCGCTGCCAGCGGGAAGCTGGGACTCATTTAATCTTGCGGAGGATCGCTCCACTGAACATAACAGCTGTGCGGTTCATTTGGCAAGCGCGATTTCGCGTTCACAAGTGGGATGGTTAAAACATAAATATCTTGCGGAAGCTCGTGTTCGTAAGTCGGGTGCTCGTAGTGCGGGTGTTCGTTGTGTGGGTGTTCGTAAGTGCGGGTGTTCGTAAGTGCGGGTGTTCGTAAGTGCGGGTGTTCGTAAGTGCGGGTGTTCGTAAGTGCGGGTGTTCGTAAGTGCGAGTGTTCGTAGTGCGGGTGTTCGTTGTGTGGGTGTTCGTAAGTGCGGGTGTTTGTAAGTGCGAGTGTTCGTAAGTGCGGGTGCTGTAAGCCAAGGACTGCCTGTTTCAAAATACTAAAACCAGTCTGCACTGAGCAGCAGCAGCAGTACCGTGCCACCCCCAGGGTGTAACTACTTGCTTGCAGCGCGGGACAACAGTGTAGTCCAAAAAAACGAAACTTCTGTCCGATTCATATTCTTGGTTCTTTCGGTAAAGCCACGGAGAAGGGAAACAAGAAAATAATAAAACAATAAAATTCTCACGACGTTTCGACTGCAACACAAGCAATCATCATCAGGTGTGAAAACCACAGCAAGAAAATTTGAAAAAAGTGGCGTTGTTTTTAACGTCAGCACCACGGAGAGTGATTTGGCAGTTAATCAGATGGACGAGTCCATCTATGTTCGGAAAAGAGGAGGGGGGAGCCGAAACAGTAATGGATGCGGTCTGAAAGCCACCGTAAGCGTGAACAATCAATTAAGACCCGAAATGGTTTATCAAATCCTTCGATTGCTAAACCAGAATCCATCTTCTCGGTTGGAATTTTCTTTGTGTTTGTATATGTGGATAGCCTCATGAACGAATCTCTCATGGTAGCCAGATGTCTTGCAGAGAACCTCTGTCTTGGAGAAATCAATGTCATGTGAGCCCACTGAATTATAACAGTGATCTGCCACGGCCGAGGTGTTGATCCTACCGTGTTTTAAGTCTGCTTTGTGTTCACGAATGCGGTCCAAGACATGTCGTTTGGTTTCTCCAATGTAACTACTACCACAGAGGCAACTTAGTTTGTAGATGCCAGGGTACTGTATGTCCGGAATCACATCTTTTACAGACGGAACCAGATCACGGATTTTATTTAATGTGTTGAATCGGACCTGGATCTTGTGTTTATTCAAGATTTTGGAGATCTTTTTTGTGATCCCCGCAGTGTAGGGTAAAGTGATGGTTTTTAAAGGCTCCTCAAGAGGGTCCTTCTTCATGGTTGGAGTGATAGCTTTGCGGATTGTTTAGTTGGAGTAACCATTAGCCTTAAGAGCCTGGTGTACGTGCTTGAGTTCACTGGCTATGTGTTCCTGGTCGGATATGCATTGGGCTCTATGGTGCAGAGTCTTGATGAGGGAATTCTTCTCTGCACCATAGAGCCCAATGCATCTCCGACCAGGAACACATTGCCAGTGAACTCAAGCTGTCGTTGCAAGGACGGATGGCCGCGGTGGCCCCTTTGTCGCCGTGTCCCTCGTGGGGTGCGGCTCACCCACCCAGCACCGCCACGGCCGCGTGGACGCAGCACGCGAGACGCGCCGTGCCACTGCGCTCGCATTGAGCGCGAGGAGACAACAACTGCTGCGGGTTTTACAGCAAGCGACGTTTATTAGGCGACACGTGACAATGTTTGACGTAGATAAATATATTGCATTCGTTAACCATTTTAAGACGTTAACACCGCCTGGCCTCATTTGAAAAAAAAAAATACATAAATGGGATTTAAAAAATCTCTAAAGATTAGCTAGTATCCCAAACAATGCGTGTGCTCTTTGAATATAAAATTCCCTGAGGTTTGTTGCTCAAGGCAATCCAGTTGGTACAACACTTTAGCAGTTCCAAGGCACAGACGGTTGACAACAGTTTATGATCAGTAGCAGCATCGTAGAAATCAGTAAACGGCTCCACACACTCACGGGGGGTTGAATCGTCATCAATGTCAACCAAAAAAATATTATTTGGCAAATCGCTCGTGTATTCTATTACACTGCTAACAGCTGCAGTGCAAACGTTACAACATTAGAATACACGGATGGTAAGGTAATCGTAGCTTATATCCAAGGCAGTTTAGACGTGCTACAATGAGGTTAGCTAAAGGTGATTTTGGTGGCGTTTGAGAGGAGGGGAAAGAGGGGAAGGGGACAGGGATGGCTACGGGGAGGGAGGTTGGATGGACGAGGGATGGTTGTGGGCCAGGGGGAAGAGGTGGGGGTCTTGAGGGAGGTGTGGGAACGGGGAGAGGTGGGGAACGGTGCCGAGTACTGGGAGTGTAAAAAACCGTCTCAATCCATCAGTCGATGCATCTAAACTTGATCAGCACACATGTAATGTACCCTACACACGTCATTGATCGGTGCCATCACTCATCACCATCATAGCTATGGCCACCGGATGGACCACGGGATTGTAGAACTAGCGGCAGCATTGCGTAATAAATACTGGACCCTGCCACAGGAAATGTAATCGCACTTGCCGGCTCACAACAACACAGGGGGTCAGGGGTCGGCACGGAGGGGTCGTCATTTTCAGCGGCAGACACTCGGTCTGGCTCGCTGTGGGTTCAACCCAAGCGGCAGAGCCGACCCGTTTTTCAGAGGAACGTGTCTCTGTGCACATCGCTAAAGTGGTTAGGTTGATCACGCGTCTCAAAATAATTCACTGCTTGCTGCTGTTGCTGCCCGTGAGGGTGTTCAAGTAAACTGCAGATTGTAAATATAAAACTATTTTGATCTCATGCACTTTGATCAGATTGACAGCGATTACCAAAACAACTTCACAACTGCCATAGTGCTAGCCCTGCCCTCATGCCGACGTTTCGGGCACGAGATTGAGGCAGAAGACGCAACAAAACTGCGAGTAACAAAACGATGGGGAGCCCGTGGTCTTCATGCCTGGGCGATGGTGCCGCTCATTCCACGTCTCCGTTGGAAGGTCCCGCCAGCTGTCCTCTCTCTGCTGCGTTCTCTCCTGAGACTACGGATGGAGTGCCACTGGAACACAAAAAAACAAAGGCATCCGTGAGCGAACCACCCGGTAACACGACCCGCCATTCGACTAAAGCCCCATGTGAAACCCCGGGGGTTCAATAACCTCTGTAACGACTAAACCTCATCGCCTAATACAATCAATATTCACTAAGACAAAAAACTACGATGGTAACGCACTTTATAGCTTAATATAAATCGTGGTTGCTTGGTCAGACAGATCAGTTAAATGTCCACTTGGCAGTCAATATGCTTTTAGGCAGGGGCGGAGCCACAGGGGGGGGCTGGGGGGGGGGCACAGCCCCCCTTGAAATTTTGGGAAAGACGGTAATCGGGATAACCAGATATCCGGCTGCTGCAAAATGCTGCAGGCTGCCACCTTGTGCTGCCACCTCGTGCTGCCCTGCAGGCTGCCACCTTGTGCTGCCACCTTGTGTGCTGCCCTGCAGGCTGCCACCTTGTGTGCTGCCCTGCAGGCTGCCACCTTGTGTGCTGCCCTGCAGGCTGCCACCTTGAGCTGCCCTGCAGGCTGCCATCTCGTGCTGCCCTGCAGGCTGCCACCTTGTGTGCTGCCCTGCAGGCTGCTTGAGCGGCAGCCTTTCGAACTTATCGAACTTATTAGCCACATCAACGGCTCCGACCTATTAATAAACTCCGCGTTCAAATCCAATAAAATTTGTTTTATACATTTGTGGCGCCCATTGGAAAACATAAACACTGGGTATCTCAGAATATTGAAGTCAGCCCCCCCAAAAGTCAAAATTCTGGCTCCGCCCCTGCTTTTAGTCACTGGGTCATCGGACTGCAGTTGGGAAATGCCTCGTCCACGTTCACTCATCAGGAGCTGGGTAGGGGGGGGGGTCGTGGTGCCTGGGCTGGAGGGGGGGGGGAGGCACCTTCGGCAAGGTCCACTGAGCTACGTCGCTCTTTGTCAGAAGCGACCACCTGGCCATCACAAATGATATGCTCGACGCAGTGGCTGATATCATCATCATCACGTGGGAAATGTATATGAGCGGCCAAAATACTCTAAACGCGTGGTGACGTTGATCGTTCATGTGGAGGAAAAACCTGAGGAGCCGGAGGAACATACACGTGACCACCACTGGGAGAGAGAGAGACACGCAAGCTCCAAATACACAGCAGGCGTCAGGGTGGGGGTCGAACCCACGACCTCCTCCATACGAGGCGAAATCGTTAACATCTCATAGCCACCGTGATAATGCTGAGAGACACAGACTCAAAATATATAACAGGAGGCATCGTGGGGGTCGGGATGGAACCCACGACATCCTTTGTACCAGGCCAAGTAGTTAACATCTCAAAGCCACGGCGTTGTATCTTGCCGACTCGCCCCCTACTGGACATCTGTGAAAAAAAGCTTCACAGCTCATCGAATTCCTCTGGCCTGAATACAGCTTCAGATTCTGTTGTGACTAACACAGCCGTTGATAAAAACATCGTACGAGTCAGCCAGGAGCTCGGTGCTGGCTCAGCGTCCCCGGCACGGCCGCTGTGAACCGCTCAGGAAGAGACCCAGCGGTGCGTGAACGTGAAACCTCGTCAGTGACACCGAGTGGGAGGCCACCGAGAGAGCTCAGCCCGGCTGCCCACGTCCACGCTCATTCATCAGGGGCTGGGCTGGGCGGTCCGGGTGCCTGGGATGGAGGGGGGGCGGGGGGGGCACCTGCGTGAGTGGAGGCAGGGCCATGAACACCGACGGTGATTCTTCTTCTTCTTCCTGACGAAGACGGAGACGATGATGATGATGACAATGACAGCTAGAGGCACCAGGACCCAGGCAGCCACCACCCCTCCCTTGTGCGAGGTCTCCTCTAGAGGGGCGAGGGTGACGTCACTCACGCCCCCACCGTGTGACCGTGGGGCTGCAGAAACACGGAGACAGAGAGGGGGGGGGGGCTCAGCGTGACCCCCACTCGCACCCAGCACCACAGCCCCACCCAGCGACTCAACACGGCTTCACGTGCAGCAGGGAGAGACCACTCACTCAACACGGCTTCACGTGCAGCAGGGAGAGACCACTCACTCAACACGGCTTCACGTGCAGCAGGGAGAGACCACTCACTCAACACGGCTTCACGTGCAGCAGGGAGAGACCACTCACTCAACACGGCTTCACATGCAGCAGGGAGAGACCACTCACTCAACACGGCTTCACTTGCAGCAGGGAGAGACCATTCACTCAACACGGCTTCACATGCAGCAGGGAGAGACCACTCACTCAACACGGCTTCACGTGCAGCAGGGACAGACCACTCACTCAACACGGCTTCACGTGCCATACTCAAAGGCCCGATTCACGTGCATCACAGATTCCTGGCTGAGAATCACTCAGCTCTACAAATGCCCACTCCAGCCCTGCACCAGTTTTTCCATGACCCTTGACCTCCCGGCCTCAACCAGTTAGATCTCGTGCACCGTTCAACGCAAGTTCCCCCATAATCGCTTCATCCGTTTGAACAACGTCGTGACGAACGGTGATCATTTTATTTTATAGATTTTATTATGTGACAAATTATGAAACGAGAAACTAAATCAAAGTTTTGATTTAAAGCTTTCGTGACTGCAGTAATTCATATTCTTAGTTTTTTCGGTAAAGTCACGTTGAAGAGAAACAACAAAATAACAAAATATATATAAAACAATAAAAAATTCTCACGACGTTTCGACCATAACTCAAACGGTCGAAACGTCGTGAGAATTTTTTATTGTTTTATATATATTTTGTTATTTTGTTGTTTCTCTTCAACGTGACTTTACCGAAAAAACTAAGAAACTAAATCAAAGTTGTAAAACGAACGTGCATTATCCATTAAACGAGTGCTTTGCCGATTGTTAAGGAGTACAAATTAAACGACATCCTCATCGTGCGTGCATTATTCACAACGTAACTGACAAAGTGCCGGTGCATGATGAGTGAACTCTGGTCGAGAACGCTTGAGCAGTCCTCGTCTTTATGCGTGCGAAAAGTCAAGCAAAGCAAATCACCAGCATAATGAATGTGAACAAGCAAATACGAGATAATCATGTTGCCAAAGTCAACTTGTTATCTAGTTGTGAAGAGTTTCATAGCGACATTGCTGGCTGCATCAGCTACAGCGCCACGCTCGGCTCTTGTTCACCTGCAGGCATCACGTTCAGCAGCACCTCCCCTTGCACCACGGTGTTCTCCGCGTTACATCGGCGACAGTCGATGCGGCACAGAGCCACGGGGCCGAGGTTCTTGGGGAAGTTGGGGATGCCGATGGAGCAGTCTCCCGTCCGCACGTCTCCCACAGACTTCACGATACTCAAGTCCTCTTTTTCATCCCGCGTTTGATAGATCTGCAATGACACAAACCACAATGTGGAAGGTCAACCACAATGGCACACGATGCCCATGGTCACATCGTCCTGAATGCCCCTGGGCTCGTTGAATGTCGCTGGCTAAGCAGGCTTGATGAGCTCGGTTACCACCTAGATGGGAGACCTCCTGGGGACACCAAGCGCTGTAGGCTTCGGTTGCAAGGCGACAAGGGGATGGCAAAATATCAACGTTGAGTTTGCGTAGAGTGGTAAGAGTGGGTCTACCTGTGGACTTGAATCTGTGTAGAGTATTGCGTGTAATCCCCCTCGTGTTAAACACGAGTTGCATCACGTGCTCTGGTTTCCCTCCACATGAAGCCAAACTCTCATTAATGTACCGTCATTGGGCAAAGATCTCAGAGCAGTGCCTTCTTGAAATGGAGTTGTGAGACTAATTGGACATTTCTGAGTAATTAAAGGGCACCACATAACGTTATTATCTGTTACGTGTCGACGTAGATATCAAGTACAGAGATAATTATTCACGGTTGACATGAAATGCGGCCGTCACCTTCTTCAACTCTCTTCTGGTCACGTTCTCTGCGTAGTGTCTGGGTATCGTGAACCACTCGATGATGATGTGGTCCAGGCTGGACGTCGATGGGGAGAAGGAGCAGGGAATAGTCACGTTCTCTCCCTCCCTCACAGACAGACTCTGCAGAAGAGTGATCTGGAGCATCGCAGCCGATGCCGCATCTACAGGGAGACCGGTCACACTCGTTACACATGTACCTACAGAGATGTACGTATATTGAACATCGTTCAAAGCGTGCGTAGCCAACCATCCTTATCGGAGGTGCGGGGGAAGGAAAACCATCTAAACACGAAAAGCTTACACTCATTACACCACTCTGGTAGAAGGGCCACTGAAAGGTCTTGAAAACGCCGTTCACAGTGGTGCTACACCATCTACATTTGTAATTGTGGAGAATAGATCAATAAAACTACGACCTCAATGGAAGCTACGACACGGTGAGCTCCGCGTAGCATCAGCTGTCGGAGAGGAACTCCGCTCACCTGGTGAGTGAGCGCAGTGAAACGTCTCCCCCTCGACCAAATCTTAGGGCTGCCTCCCCCCCACCGTCAGTGCCCAGACTCAGAGCGGCCGCTCGCGAGCCGAGTCTCAGCGGAGCGCGTGGCCCGGGAGCCACTGGCACAGCCAGGACGGTGTCACAGGGGTCACATGACCCGTGACCTCATCGTCACGGTGGTTTATTAAAAACTAAAAAACTATTCTAATTAGCAGGTAAGGCCCACTGAGCTATGTAGCTATTTTTTTCAAAAGTGACCTGGCCACAAATGACAGCTCAACGAAGTGGCTTGTGTCGTGCTGAAATTTACAGCAGCAAAATAATCGACATGCACGTTGAGTCTAAATGTGGAGGAAAAAAACCAGAGGACCCGGAGACAAATCCACGTGACCACAGGCAGAGAGACACGCAAACTCCAAATATACAGCAGGCGTCAGGGTCGGAATCGAACCCACAACCTCCTGCGTTCCAGGCGAGGGAGGTAACGGTGAACTCTCACCTGGCTAACGAAAGGGCACCGTCCAATGTGTGCTGGGTGAGTGGCTCTGGGTGTGAACTCACCCAGAAGGGAGATGAACAGTGGGATGATGACCAGCTTCATGGTCGGCTCTGTCTGCTGATGATCACAAACGAGAATGAGTCATTAGTCCATCTCACGGCCTCACTCCAATGGCTCACGCTCCCTCACATTCACATCACTCCGCTTCTACATCTTTTCATTTGTGACGTCAGCGATGAGATTAATCTTTTGGATTTAGTTATCCCAACTTTAATGACATAAACACGCGCTTCATTTGAACACGCTGCATGGACACTGGCTCCTAAGTGAAATAAAACGATGTTCTGGGAATGCCAAGGCACAGTCATCCTGTACGGCAATCACATCCCTAGCCCTGCTGCTTGTTCAGTCTGAACGGAACAAGCAGTGGAATCTCGCAGAAGCGGCTATGCATCTGGTTCAGTCGTGGTTGTCGCCGTGTAGGGAGGGGGGCTACGACCCTTGAAGGCGAGGAACTCCACCAAACTCACGGACAAAGTAGCAGAATGTGAAACCGAGAAGTCTGTGGTGATGGAGCAGGCAGTGTTGTGATTATGAGCAGCGGTATAGCAAGTTAAACACGTTCTAGGCTTTCACGTAAATATGTCTTTAAACCCCCCATCACTTGACACAGCCAATTAGTAAGGTTTGTCACGTAAACAGAACGTGGCCAATTCATTACTAGAGCAGCACACCGGTGTGTTGGAGAGCAAAGCCACAACATTTACATCGGAGTACGAAATTTCTCCAGTAATTACAACCAACTACATCAGGCGACAGAGCTGTGCAGAAATCCTGTTTTGTTACTTAGAGCGGTGGACGTGATGGTGTCACTTGTGAGCACTTCTTACACGCAGTGGGGGGGGGGGGGGGGATGAATGTGTAGTGGGTTCCACGTAGTCTTTAGAGGCAACACGGTTGATTTGAATCTTAACAGAAAGCCCCCTTTACTCCCACTACCTGGGGAGGTATGGCCTCCGGGCTGACGTGGCCTATCACTGGGGCTACGGGCTCTGAGTCCTCTGGCTAAGGGTGGCCTAGGGGAGGCTTTGCTGACCCGACCCAGCCAAGGAGCGGGTCCTGACCACTGGTCTGCGCTCGGCCCTGGCCCTCACAAGGACGTCGGGTCCCGTGGTCCCAGGGTCCTAGCCTAGCTGCTCTTCTGTCTTCGTCTTCAGAGCACTGCCTCGAGCCCACCTGAGGTCCGTCTTTTATACTCGTCCCGGGGACTCTCCGCCCCCGGTACCGCCCCTTTTCTGGAACCTTCTAGGGGACTCTGGAATAACCCCCCAACCCCTCACCTGGGGTCGGGAGGGGAACTCGGCCTCTCAACGGTCCGGCTCTCTCTCTAGCTCAGGGTGGCACCCCCTATCGACCCGTGGCCGCAACTACAGGCAAGTACACAGGGCGGTGTGCGATTTCCGACGCTGCAAATGCACCAAACCCCGGGACAAAGCAACCGACTGGGAGACCGGGGAGCCGGAGACAATCCTCGGTCGAGGCGCTTCAGCGCTACGCCCTTTTGTAATAACGCGGCGCGCTCTGCATTTAGACCTCCTGCCGACGTACGCGGGGCAATGATCGTAATGACGTCAGTCGGCACCGCCACGCACGCCCACCTAGCCTGGCACCGCGACCCAATGGCGGAGCGATAGACACACAGGTAGACACGGTGGAACAAACAGCCACTGCCTCACACCAGACACACAGAGACAACGTCACACACTCACAATGGTAAAGACACGAGGAGTCGATGAACCAAATGGAACCACGAGAATTGCGATGGGGACCCAGGGACCCAGGGACCCAGGGACCCAGGAACCCAGGGACCCAGGGACGCAGTCTCCGTGAGCAGGGCGAGAGAGACGACCTCACCTCCTGGAGCTCAGCTGTGATGCTGCTGCTGGGGGGAGCAGCAGGAGGAGCAGCAGGAGGAGCAGCAGGAGGAGAAGCAGGAGGAGGAACAGGGACGTGAAGTCGCCTCCAGTACCCGGCGATAGCAGCAACAGCGACGACTCTGACCGAAAACTTTAAAGCAATGTGACAGTGACGTCACGAGGCTAGTGGAGGCAGGTGGGGCGCGGGGGAGGGGAGGGGCGCGGGGGAGGGGAGCGGGGGAGGGGAGGGGCGCGGGGTAGGGGAGGGGCGCGGGGGGAGGGGAGGGGCGCGGGGGAGGGGAGGGGCGCGGGGGGAGGGGCGGCGGGTGCCTCCACTCTCGAAGTGTCCAATCAGAGTCGCCTGCTGCTGCTGCTGCCGCCGCCGCGTGACACTCGGCGCGCGCCGGGGGAGAGGGGGGGGGGACATTCTCGTTTGGAAGTGAGCAGTGACGTCACTAGGCTAGCGGAGGCAGGTGGGCCGAGTATTGTGTGTGGTGGTGGTGTGTGTGTGGTGTATGTGTGTGTGTGGTGGTGTGTGTGTGTGGTGGTGTATGTGTGTGTGGTGGTGGTGTGTGTGGTGTATGTGTGTGTGGTGGTTGCTGTGTGTGTGGTGGTGTGTGTGTGGTGTATGTGTGTGTGTGGTGGTGTGTGTGGTGTGTGTGGTGGTTGCTGTGTGTGTGTGTGGTGGTGTGTGTGTGGTGTGTGTGGTGGTGTGTGTGGTGTGTGTGTGGTGTATGTGTGTGTGTGGTGGTGTGTGTGTGTGTGGTGTATGTGTGTGTGTGGTGGTGTGTGTGTGGTGGTTGCTGTGTGTGTGTGGTGGTGTGTGTGTGGTGGTGTGTGTGGTGTGTGTGGTGGTTGCTGTGTGTGTGTGTGGTGGTGTGTGGTGGTGGTGGTGTGTGTGTGTGGTGTATGTGTGTGTGTGGTGGTGTGTGTGTGTGGTGTGTGTGTGTGTGTGGTGTGTGTGTGGTGTATGTGTGTGTGTGGTGGTGTGTGTGGTGGTGGTGTGTGTGTGGTGGTGTGTGTGGTGGTATGTGTGTGGTGGTATGTGTGTGGTGGTGGTGACGGTGTGTGGTGGTGACGGTGTGTGTGGTGACGGTGTGTTTGGTGACGGTGTGTTTGTGGTGATGTGTGTGGTTGCTGTGTGTATGGTGGTGGTTGCTGTGTGTATGGTGGTGGTGTGTGTGTGGTGGTGTGTGTGTGGTGGTGTGTGTGTGGTGGTGTGTGTGGTGGTATGTGTGTGGTGGTGTGTGTGTGGTGGTGGTGACGGTGTGTGGTGGTGACGGTGTGTGTGGTGACGGTGTGTGTGGTGACGGTGTGTTTGGTGACGGTGTGTATGTGGTGATGTGTGTGGTTGCTGTGTGTATGGTGGTGGTTGCTGTGTGTATGGTGGTGGTGTGTGTATGGTGGTGCTGTGTATGGTGGTGCTGTGTATGGTGGTGGTGTGTGTGGTGCTGTGTATGGTGGTGGTGTGTATGGTGGTGTGTGTGGTGGTGTGTGTGTGGTGGTGTGTGTGTGGTGGTAGTGACTGGCTCCAGTTTAACAGCAGAGGTCTCACTCCGAATCAGTCGAGCGGCAATATCTTTTCATCGGTTGCGTAACGCTGTGTGGAAGCTACCTGGTCTGTCGCTCCGCACTAAACTTCAGGTCTTCTCGGCCACGGTCATTCCCTCCCTTCTCTACGCTTGCGAAACGTGGACCCCCCTAATGGAACATCTTCGCCGGTTAGAAACATTTAGGCTGGCCTGCCTACGATCCATCCTGGGTTTAACCAGACTGGATTGTGTGAGGAGCTCACAAATCCTTGAAAGATCTGGGCAGGGTCCCATCGGTGAGCTCCTCCGGCAGGCAAGGCTGCGATGGCTGGGTCATGTAGCCCGCATGCCCAGCCACCGCATGCCGAAACAGCTTTTGTTTGGCCGGATTGAGGGGGCTAAGCGGGCGCGGCACGGGCTAGAGAAGAGATGGAGTGATGTGGTACAGGAGGACGTGGAGCTGAGTGGACTTGCCGATGACTGGTACCAGCGGTGTCAAGATCGGCCTCTGTGGAGGAGGCTCGTGAAGGATGCTACTGGGCAGTTGGAGGCAGTCGCCCTCCAACAACAACGGAGGGCGGAGGAGCGACGCTCACAACAGCGAGCGGAGCGCCGGGTGGCTAAAGCACAGCAGGTTGGCACAGTAGGGGGCACAGGTGGTGCATCAGCCAGTCATCTCAGTCAGTCGACCCGTGGCACCTGGGTCTGCCCCGTGACCTCCTGCCAGCGGGCGTTCGACACTTCACGTGGCCTCAGGGTGCACATAGCCTGGCACAAGCGTCGTGGTGACGTCACCGCCACTTAGTGGCGAATGGCGGTTGTTGTTGTTGTTGTGGTGGTAGTGGTGCTGCGTGTGTGTGGTGGTGTATGGTGGTGCTGTGTGTGTGTGAGCACCACTATCGCCTCAACTCCGCTAAGGGGACATCCATTGAGTCCGTACGCATGGAGTGGGGAGGGGTTAACACAAATGTGTACAGCTTGTGAATGGGGGGCTACTGACAATGTATGCATAGGAAACGGGGGGTGTAGCCTCGATAATAATATTGATATTCGATTATTTTCGATGATAAGTTGTCTACACTGGCCTTCAAACGAGTTGCATAGTCCGGCGGTAGGCTGTTTGCTTAAACACATTAATATTATTCATCCTTGATCGTCTCTGCGTGGATTAAATATCGGGCGTTCTAACAGGTCCCTGCAGGGTGGGCTGGTAGGAACATTGGCGAAGTAACGTCACGGTGCCTTCGAACTTCGCCTCGCAAATGGTATTCGGCTGTGGGCTGTCTGAATTTGCCACATCCCCAAAAGCGAAGTTCGCAAATGAGATAATGTGACTTCCAAATGTTGGGTGCAAAAATGTTGGGTGCAATACGACATATCAAGTCTCTGCGCTGTCTATTGCTGATTTTACACCCAACAGCACGAGATTTCACTTCGTTAAAGTATTGAAAGGGGACGGACGGACACATTAATCTATTGCAGGCTGGTACACTCAGTTTACAACTTCCTTCCTACCAGTATAAAGGATGTCAGTGACAAGAGAGTGACTCTCAGTGACGTCACTCACGTGGTTAAATAAAAGATGTCAGTGACAAGAGAGTGACTCTCAATGACGTCACTCACGTGGTTAAATCAAGGATGCCAGTGACAAGAGAGTGACTCTCAATGACGTCACTCACGTGATCAATAAAGGATGTCAGTGACAAGAGAGACTCTCAATGACGTCACTCACGTGGTTAAATAAAGGATGTCAGTGACAAGAGAGTGACTCTCAATGACGTCACTCACGTGGTTAAATAAAGGATGTCAGCGACAAGAGAGTGACTCTCAATGACGTCACTCACGTGGTTAAATAAAGGATGTCAGCGACAAGAGAGTGACTCTCGATGACGTCACTCACGTGGTTAAATCAAGGATGCCAGTGACAAGAGAGTGACTCTCAATGACGTCACTCACGTGATCAAATAAAGGATGTCAGTGACAAGAGAGACTCTCAATGACGTCACTCACGTGGTTAAATAAAGGATGTCAGTGACAAGAGAGTGACTCTCAATGACGTCACTCACGTGGTTAAATAAAGGATGTCAGCGACAAGAGTGACTCTCAATGACGTCACTCACGTGGTTAAATAAAGGATGCCAGTGACAAGAGAGCGACTCTCGGTGACGTCACTCACGTGGTTAAATAAAGGATGTCAGTAACAAGAGAGTGGCTCTCAATGACGTCACTCACGTGGTTAAATCAAGGATGTCAGTGACAAGAGAGTGACTCTCAATGACGTCACTCACGTGGTTAAATAAAGGATGTCAGCGACAAGAGAGTGACTCTCGATGACGTCACTCACGTGGTTAAATAAAGGATGACAGTCACACGAGATTTCACTTCGTTAAAGTATTGAAAGGGGACGGACGGACGGACACATTAATATATTGCAGGCTGGTACACTCAGTTCACAACTTCGTTCCTACCAGTAGAAGATTCGGGGGGTAAAAAGTCAAAGTCCGTGTGCGCACAGAGAGAGGGGAGGGGTCAAGTAGACAGATTTGTCGTCCCTACTCAATGGATGACCCCTAACGCGATGCTGAATGTGTGGCGGGGTGATTTCTCACAATGCCATCGAGTGAATTCTTACAGTGGCATGGGAAGAAGCCGAATGAGAATGTGGCACTCGTGACGTCACTGCTCAGTCGTCGTGTTAAAGCTGTCGGGCAGATCCCCACACACAGCCCCAAGTGGCACAGAGTGTGATAGACACACAGTCATACATAGACACACAGTCATACATAGACACACAGACACACAAAGACACACAGTCATACATAGACACACAGACACACATAGACACACAGTCATACATAGACACACAGACACACATAGACACACAGTCATACATAGACACAGTGATAGACACACAGACACACAGTCATACATAGACACAGTGATAGACACACACAGACACACAGTGATACATAGACACACAGAGTGATAGACACAGACACACAGTCATACATAGACACAGAGTGTGATAGACACACAGGCACACAGTCATACATAGACACACAGTGTGATAGACACACAGTCATACATTGACACACAGTGTGTGATAGACACACAGACACACAGTCATACATAGACACAGTGTGATAGACACACAGTCATACATAGACACAGAGTGTGATAGACACACAGACACACAGTCATACATAGACACACAGTGTGTGATAGAGAGACAACCTCACCTCTCAGCTGTGATGCTGCTGCTGGGGAGGAGGAGGAGGAGCAGGGACGTGCTGTCGCCTCCGATACTCTGCGATGATGGCAGCAGCAGCAGCGACCACGCCGGTGTTTTATAGCCCGGGGGGGGGGCTCTATCTCACCCCCAGAACCCCTCCACCT